ACCAGGATAGTCCTAACGTGATTTGCATTTATCAAACTTCTGCTGGGTTCTTACGCAACAAAAGTACCATTTCAGTTCTAAAGGATCTATCCTGAGCTATACGTTCGGTAGATTACTTTTTTTGAGTTTCACTATATTTAATAGTTACCTGTGGTTTTGCCTCAGCTTACTATTCGGTTTTTTTTGTTTTTCACGTATAGACTAGTTTCAGTTTATATCACTCGTTTTGTCCATTTTTGTCCGTTTTCAGTGTGCTTTTTAGTGCTTTTTTGAAAGGTCTTAGGTTCTTGCAAGCATTTATAACATAATTTGCTTCAACACCGTCATGAAAAACTCATGCAAACGTCCGGGATGCCGTTTTGCTGTCACAACTGGCATGCAGTGCGACAACTGCAAAGGTTGGTTCCACGAAGCATGCACAGATCTGACAGCAACTGCTTACAACAGACTCAGCAAGTCAAAGCAAAAGTGGGTGTGTGTCACGTGCAACACAGACTCCGTAGTCTTGCTGAGTAACATCATTGTCCTACTGCCAGGTCTTCGGAAGAAGTTGTCAGTTAACTTGGAAAACGATAGTAAAAAAACCGATATACAAACAAAAGCGTGCAACGGACTCAAAAACAGGGATGTCGATAGGTATTCCATCGATGGAGCATCCATCAACACTAACGACGACATGTTGAGGCTCAGTACCATCATTACGTCGACGGTACTGAACTCCCTAGGCAAACTCGGGCCTCCCAGCTCAGGGTCCCCGAACACAACAGTGTTCGCCAAAAACCCTGCAGGTGATTCGACCCACGTTAAGAGAGTCCAAAAGAACCAGGCATCACCGCCTAAGCCGAGCAACCCAAGTGTTGCTGCACGGAAGATAACTGGTGATTTAGTCGCACAGTCTACCCCCAAGACTGTTCGTCCGGTCAATAAAGAGCCCATGATTCATAAACGCACACTGACCTCCAAACAACAAGTTATTAAACCTGAACCCATCGTGAAACCTGGTAAATTAACAACAGTTCGTGACGATTCTCTCATTATCATGAACCTCGTTGACAATCCTGATCTTCCTCTCAGTCTGCAGAACAAAAACGACAGGATGCTCTGGGGTGAATTGAACAAGAAGCTCGAACTTCCTAGAATAGAACCTTTGACGGTCACCCGGCTCACTCGAGGAAAGGATTCTAAGCATCTAAATCACCCGAGGCTTCTCCGAGTAACACTTAAGGATGCTACCGACGTAGAGGACGTCTTGCTAGCAAGTCACTTACTGAAATCAGATGGTAACGTAAGAATACTGCCCGACATACCGTACTCTGAGCGCAGTATCATACGAAACGTCCTTAAAGAATCTCGCGAGAAGTTTTTCCGCGGAAGAAACATAATTGTCCAGGGTATACTGGAAAATGCAGACCCTACTCAATCAAATTCTGACATCAGAGAATGGAAATTCATCAAACAGTCCTTGAGGCTCAAACACATACTGACTCAGCATGTGACGAGACTAGTCAAGAAGGACGGTGATCTTAGACCCCGTCTAATGAAGATAACCTTCCCATTTTCCCACATGGCGGCTGCAGTTCTGGAAGCATTTCGTGCTAATAGACGTCGATTGCCACCTGGAATCCACATGCACCCGGATAGGCCATACGAAGTTAGGACCAAGAACAAAGGCAAGTTGGAGCTAACCATTCCACTTGTGGACTGTCTAAACGATAAAAAAAACGTGTAAAGGACAGGGCCTACCACCTCGGCAAACCTCACATAGGTGGGCTACCTGTCCATTCACATAAGGTTCATACAGAAAAACAGGACGAAGCTCACGCGTTCCAAATTGAAAGCATAAACTGCTTATATATGAACGCCGCGAGTCTACCAAACAAACTGGATGAACTACGTGAACTTAGCAACGCTAATAAGGCCCATCTGATAGGAATATCTGAAACCTGGATATCTTCTCAGTTCTCGGACCAAGAGTTAGCATTACCTGGGATGACTTTGTTCCGCAACGACAGAAAAATAGGAATTGGGGGCGGAGTAGCCATATACATAAGCTCTTGCTTGGAGGTGCACCAGGTTCACAACCTCGAGTTTAACAATCTTGAGGAATCCATATGGTGCTCTGTAAGATTGTCTAGTACTTCCAGGTGTCTAGTCGGAGTCATTTACAGGAAGCCAACTGCCGACACCGAGTACGATAGTCGTATGCTGGAAGGACTATCCCGCTCTATCCGTCTCGGTTTCACACACATCCTGATTCTAGGGGACTTTAATCTCCCTAGAGTCAACTTCGCAGAACACACGTACACTGGAGGCGACAACTCAACTGAAGCTCGGTTCTTCAACCTCATCAATAACTTGGGCTTATATGAAAATGTGAGGTCGGCAACTCGTTGGAGAAACAGTCAGACACCATCGCGCTTAGACTGTGTATTCACTAACGAAGAATTCCTAGTCGATAACCTCTCAATCCTGGCTCCTCTGGGAAAAAGCGATCATGCCGTCATAGCCTTCAGTTTTGTCATCAAAACTAACCTAAGGTATCCCTACAATAATTTGCGTTGGAATTTTAAACGGCTGAATGTGCCAGCTCTACATAACTATCTACAACAGGTGTTTTGGGATGTTCACCCTCAAATCGATGTCGATGGTCATTGGGACTTCTTACTGCACACGCTCTTATTTGCTACAGACAATTCAGTTCCTCAAACGGTTCCCAAAAGCTTCAAGCCACCTACAGTAATCAAGAACCGTACCCTTCGCCTCCTAAGCCGCAAACGGCACTGTTGGGCGGAATACAAACGAACTAATAACGATGGAGCGTATAGGCAATACAAACATATCAAGAACACATGCACGAAGGCTATAACAGAAGACAGGCTTCAGTACCAAACAAAGCTTATGGACAAATTCGCCTCTAACCCTAGAAGCCTATTCCGTTATGCAGCCTCTCTTCGTCAAGCCAAAACGGGAGTTTCTCAACTGCTAGGTCTTAACGGCCCGACCAACAACGATGGCGACGCCGCTAACTTTCTGGCGGCCCATTACTCTCAAACATTTCAACCGGCTGACATCAACTTTATTGACGACAGTTTCATCTCCAACTCCACAGGACTTTCTGAAGTGGACCTAAGCGCTGACTTGGTGTTCCGAAAATCGCAGCACTTAAGACTTGACACTTCTCCTGACCCGGATATGGTTCATCCTGCCATACTGAGGGAGGCAGCCTCAATCCTGGCAACGCCGCTTAGCGTGATGTTTTCACACTCGCTTAGCCGAGGCAAATTACCGGAAAACTGGAAGTTGACTCACATCACACCAATTTTCGAAGGTGGTCGACGCAATGAACCTTCAAGTAATCGGCTGGTGGCTCTTCTTTCATTACCTTCAAAACTCATGGAGTCCCTGATATGCGACGGTTTAAATGACTATCTACTGTCCTTAAATTTCTTCTCACCCCAACAGCATGGTTTCAGGAAGGGTTATTCTTGTATAACCAACCTGCTGACTGCGGTGAACAAATGGACAAGCATCCTCGATTGCAAGGAAAAGGTCGACGTCATTTACCTTGATTTCTCAAAAGCTTTTGATAAGGTTAACCACTTGTGTCTTATCAACAAGCTCAAACGACTAGGTATCAAACCACCTCTAATCGATTGGCTTACTTCATACCTAAAAAATCGACACTTTAAGGTTAGGGTTAATTTCACTTTATCTCAGGCTATGGAATGTCCTAGTGGGGTCCCCCAGGGCTCAGTACTAGGACCTTTTCTCCTCTTGATCTACATAAATGGTCATCCTCAACAGGTAACGTCAGACTTATTATTATTTACCGACGACGTGAAACTTTGGAGAGAGATACGCAACCAAGACGATACACAGGCACTTCAGGAGGATCTGACTCGACTTCAAAGTTGGGCAGACGATAACGGACTTACCTTTAACACTTCAAAGTGTAAAGTAGTCCATCTGCGACATGTCGCAAACTACAGTTACAACTTAGGAAACTCCTCTCCAGTAGTATCCCGAGTCGAAAAAGATTTAGGAGTCCTGGTGCCCCATGACTTAAAGTCTTACGCTGTGACAAAAATGCCTTCCGAGCAAACCTTGCACTGGTAACGTTGAAGCGCATTTTTGGACAGTTTGACGGACGAACTTTCCATACAATCTTCAATAGTTTCATCCGTCCCTATTTAGAGTATGGAACTATAGTATTTCCTCTCTCACTCCAAGAGGACAAGGTCTCTTTGGAGCGCATCCAACGGCGAGCCACGAAATCAGTTCGAGGACTCAAATATCAGCCTTACGAAGAACGCCTCTGTTGACTAGACCTTAACCCACTAGAATATAGGGGTCTTAGAGGTAATTTACTAATGGCTTATAGTATTCTTAACACTTCTGGACATCCTCTTGAACACCTACTTAAGCTTAGTTCGAATAATAACTTAAGGGGTAACACCCAGAAACTGGAAACACAACATAGCAAGACGGAATGTAGACACAACTTCTACTCCTTAAGAGTTGTCAAAAGCTGGAATTTGCTGCCGGCCGAGCTAGTCCAAGCGACTTCTCAGGAGTCCTTCAAGAGGCAACTTGACCTATTCTTAAGGACCAAGGACAGCATCACATTATGATTTACCAATTTCTTTTCCTTTTTTATTGTTAACATACCTAGGTTCCTGACTGGAGGATTTGGTGATCCCTTGCTACTAGACACGGAAGCCTGTTAAGCGAAAGCTTTTTCTATTCCGTCCATAACCATTTGAACAATTTGACATATCATAAAAACATTATTTTACATATGTTATATCTCTAAACAGTAATACACTCTGAAGAATGCTATTTTCATTTCTATTAAAGCTGATTATCTGCAGTCAACAAGGTTCTGTAATTTTCTTTATAAGAATGTATAATGTTTGTTTTAGTTCTTCAAAGTCCCAGGTCGTAGTTGGGGCAAAGTTCTGAAATGATGTCAACCGAGTGTTTGACTTCTTAACGTAATTATGGAAGAAAAGCTGAGAGGTTATATGAGTTTGTTTGCTTCTTACTGCTCCGAGGTAAATGCTGTCAAATGTAAGGAGGAGGATTTGCAGTTTTTGAGAGCAAACGTTAAAAAAATCAGCCCACTGTTATCTTTGAGTAGTATGACATTATTTTGTGCGTATTATTTATTATGCTGATTATAGATAAGTGTCGGAAAATGCTCTTTGAACATGAATCTTACGTTAGTGACTTTTCCTTCGCACTTCAAGTATCGTACTAATATTACCGTTATTCTTAGTTTCTCAACGACAGGGTCCTTAGGACACAAATTGTACTGATTCTTTCCAAATTGGTGAAAAAATCTAGTAAGTACGATGTTTTACGGGACAAAATATCAAAAGTAGACTGAACATTTTCATGCTTGTTTAAACGAATATCGATTGTTTAAGTTTTAGCAGGTTTGCATTTTATAATAAGTGTCGTCAAAGCTCCCACTCTGTTTTCTTATACCTAATTTTTTATACACCTCATGCCCGTTCATTTTTTCAGTTTAAACAACGATGTTTTTTCGATACTTTTCATACTTATTGTGTATTCCACACCCAATTACTTGTTGGATGAGATATTTCTACATTGGATTTCACGTCATATAAATTGTTGTCCACACATAGATTATTTTATCTGTCTCAGTTTACCATATGCTTGATATTATGCATCCGTGTCTTCCATTTCTTGTGACTCAAGATTTGTGGGTTCTTAACTTTCCAGTTTCATGTTAATTATTCAGTCATGTGAAAGTCGCTTCGTTCCACTCTTTAGTAGTCTCATATACATGTTTTGTATGCGTTTATGAAAGACACCTTTTCTGAAGTCTTTCGTTCACTAGCGTTTTTTAGTTAAATGAACCATCAGTTTTTACTTTACATATTGTTTGGAGCATATATATTTGGTGCCCTCTTGTACTAATATTTGTGTTCAAATAAATAAATGAATGATACATATTAACGTCTGCTTTTAATACACTTCCGCACAAGCTGATAAACAGTACTATGGAACTTAGTAACACCTCATTTAGACTGAGCAATTACAACTGGGACATAAAAACTATGTTATGTTGTCACGAAAATGACCTTTGTTGCATGCTTTATGGTTAGCTGTGGGTTTTTGTTCCAGAAGGAAAACATTCTCAAATATGTCACTTGCTAAATATTTAAATCAATAGTAGTATGCAGTTGCACTCTAATCAAGTTACTGAGATTTCTCAGATCACCTGGTCATTTTCAGTGTAAGATGATTGTGAATTGTTTAAGTTTCATTCTCTAAGCAGCATGCTCTTCCGTCCTTTATCTGAAAGTGTAGAAGTTTTCAGTAGTTTTTTGCTTCAGTATAAATGTTCATTTGACAAATATGTCAACTTTTGTTCAAACATACATAGGTTTTAATATTTTTGCTGGATATCGGGGTTTGTATTAGCCATCGTATAAATTTATTTATTCTCAATTTGCTGAAATACTGTCCATTTAGTCGGTAACATGTTAAATGACAAATTTATTTAAAGGGTTACATAACAAATAAATATCAATTCATGTCGGCTCAAAGATTGTCTTAAACTGGTGAACACCGTTAAGTTAGTCTAATCAGGCTCAAAACTATCCGGTAATATATACTTTTAATTTATATAATGTTGAACTTAGTGCTGTCATGTTCTTTAACGAGCACGTTTATTTTGTCGAATCGAATTTGGGACACAGCGATTTCATTGACTTCTCAAACTGTCATGAAATTTACTGCAAAAAATATTCAGTTTATCTTTGAGAAGAATTATTCACTATGAATAGATGCGTATTCATTATTTATGGATAATATCCCAAACCGATTAAACCTATGATCTTACTATTTAATTGCTAATAAATAATATGGTATATACAATGCTTTTGTCATAAATAATAATGTTCAATTTTTTCAAACAATAATTATTATCCTTGTTAAGAAAAATTATTTTGTTCTTAAGCGCCCCAATTCCGGATCACAATGTTAATACAAAAAGGGATTACTAGAGCTCTATTTCAAGCTCTTTACATGGAATACTCTGAAGAAACTCCAAATGTTGAACTTTTATTAAAAATACATCAGGTGGGATTTTTTATGTTATGTATTAATAGTTTTCAAAATATTCTTGGTTAAATGTAGTAACTCCACTTATTCTTAGAATTTAATATTATTATTGGGAAGTCTAGTTAGATCAACAAAGGGCTTTTTTAACATTTTTCTGTGAACATACAATCAGTAAATTATATGCGCTTACGCTACGAAATAGAAACTTTGATCAGTAGACTTAACTCATAAGACTAATCGCTAATCAAGATGGTATGACAATGAGTTTGTCGCCGGATAGCAATTAATTAACGAAACACAAAAACGTAGTTCGAGAAACTATTCAGTCCTATCGTGTTTCATTTTTAAATTAGAAAACAGTACATTTAAAGCCAATCCTTTTGCAATTGCTTGCGGTCAGCATAATCCAAGATTCCATCTAACTGCTATGCTTAATAGACGTATTAACGATCTTGTCAAAATGATGTTTTTGCGTTCATTTGTTTTTATATTTATAGGAACCAAATAAAACTTAATAGGTCTACATCTGTAAATCTTTTAACGGCATTCAGACATGCTTTTGTACGTCACTTTCTAGCCGTCATACATACCTACATAAGTAGTTATTCATCATATCATTTTACTAACAAAAATCATATCTAAGTTTATAATATGTTTATTAACCCTGATTTTGTTCGTGACTGGTACATTTGGTCTTATTGGAGGCATTATTATCTTTTCAACGTAAGATTCAGTGACTGGTTTATTATTACGTATGGTCCTGTTCTATAAGAAATTATTATTAAATGAAGTCTTTTATTAAAGTGAAAATTAGTAGTAGCGTAGTATTTGATGTCATAATCTGGAAATTCTCGTGAATGCATGAATTAACTATATACACATCTTTCATATTTCTGTACTTGTTTAAAAAAGGAAAAAATTCACCAGAACTCTTCTGTCAGTATTGTTTTTGAATACATTGAGGGTACTAGTATTCCTTATTGGATTTTTATCTACCTCATTCAGTTTTACAGTTTGAAGCATTGCCACTGACATATCTGGGTCACGATTGACCTCCTGTAGAATTGAGAAATAGTTACAACTGTTTGATTACTAAATGTTATGCTTGTCTAGTAATTTAGTGTTAATCGAATCCTGTTGATTAGTTTGCAATCTGTCCACTAGTTCTAAGTGACTCAAAATCCTGTACATTATATTACACTATGTTTTCAAGCTCTTCCAAATATACCATCATGTTTGTTACGTACACATATTGATCGTTTTTCTTTATTTACTTAGTAAATTATCTTAATTTAGTTACAAAATGATAACATGTCCTATTAACAACCATAATGCGCTGAAATGAACAATTTTTATGAAACTTTAGTTACTCTGTCGTCTTGGTCCGATGGATAAACGTTTTGGTATTCGAGCAAGAGTGAGCCATTGTATTCCAATTACAATCCACCTTCTAAGAATTCAAGTTAGTACAAATTATTTTGTTTTACCTGTTTCATATTTATATATTTTATAATCGTTAATAATTAAAAAGGACTACTTACGTTTAAGAGATTGGCTATGAATTGCAGTATAATATAGGACGCATGTTTTGTCCAGTTTCGGACTGGTCGGTTGGATTTATCTGCCTCTCAGTGTCAGTGTCCAAATTGGGGCTCAAACCTAGTGTATTTCACTCCAAACTCGCAATGAATTGTTCACTGCTCTACTGAGTTCAGTTACCCATCAGCCTACTCAGTGGATATAATGTTTGTATGTTCATTAGAAGAGGCTTGGATTATACATTCCGGATACTCAGGATGAAAGTGTTATCAGTCTTGGCTTATGTGCATCCTATGCTGATTGGCTTATTTTGTCTATTTCATCATAAGTTATTTAGAAAAGATATATTGTTGCTGGTGTTTTATTGGTTCTTTTGAAATAAAGTCATCCTGGGGTTTATTGGTATTAAATGGAAATCTTATATTGACCAAAACCCAACTCAATATTTAATTCTTGAAGTGGTAAGCAGATATTCTCACCATTAAACCTGAATAAAAACGATTAAAAATTAATTCTCTTTGAACCTATAATATTTTTCATTCACGAACGATCGAGATTATTCTAATACGATGGGTTTATAACTGATTGATTGTTAGGTAGTGACTAATGTCAAGTCTTTCTTAGTGCTCATCGAGTTCTACAGATCAATTTGAGATGTGGTCACTATTCTAGGTGACTTGATATCGCGTGACCTATGTTAAGATGTAAATCGGTGGTCGAAAGTAGTCTGCAGGAAACCTTGAAGCAGGTAAGGTGTGCCTGTAAACTTTATGGGATTTATACTCCCTGGTGGATTCGATACCATATCACCCAACTTCACAGTCTGAGACGTTACCACTGAGCTATTCAGGACGTGACTGATTTTCTGAAAATAGGTCTCAGTCCCCCATAAGGTCAGTCGCGACCCGATTATCTCACTGATAACCTTGCTGACTGTGAACGTGGATGACATGAGATCATACGGCCAATAACAAATACTAGGTTTAGGATTCAGCGTTGAAGATTAGAATTTTAGGTGTGTTGCAGTTAAGATTGGGATGTAGAAATAAATATTACAGTTAAAATTGTTGTGAAATTTTACAATTTGGTTTAGATTACATGCTTACTTTATATATGTACCTTAATTCTTGGTCCGATATCTAGCCCTAAACAATTATATTCTAATTAAAAAGCAGCAGAGTTAAAATCTATAGATGAACCAATTAGATTTAAGATAGAGATTTTTGGATTTCTGCATGAAACTCGTTTATCTGTATGGATAAGTGACATTTTGGCATTATGGCTGATGTCATTTTGTGATGAAGACCCTCACTCTTAACTCTTACGTCTGGTCCTAATTCCTCACACTAACTTATAACTCTCTTTTGACCCTGGTAAGTGATTGACGTTTCTCAAGGCCACTTTACAATCATTCAAAAGTCGTTTATACATGATGTTCCTAGCTTTAAATACTAACCTTAAAAACAAAATCTAAACTCGTAACCTTAAAGCCTATCGCGTATTCCTTACCTTAGCTTAAGTTTCCAATAATATTTTCATTATTGAAATAAATTCCCTTTGGTCGAAAGACAATATTGTTTTCTGGTATACACTCTGTGACATTGAAATGACCTGCTCTTTACTGATTGGTTCAGTTTTATAAGTCAGGTCTGCCAATTTTTTGATAGGCCCCCAAATGCCTTGGTACGGCCGAAGGTGAGGAGGGTCCGATCTCTCTGTCTCTAAATGCTCTTACATGGCCATGTCTTCTCGCACCACGGGTGTTGTTTACAAAATTGAAAGGACTAAAAGCAAATGTTTGGTGCTTTAACCGCGTTGATGGATATGGAGGATCCACCTAGGGGAGTTGGAAAACCGTCATTCCAAACCACTTGTACACATGGGCTCCAAGATCCTGAAGAAACAAATGGTTTATGGACCTATTGTTGGTGACCGACAATCATGAGATTACACCCCATGACGTTGCTCTACTGCCTTGTGGATTAGACCTCTAAGTCAATGGTTCTGGGAGTGACCCTCTAAGGAAACTATCTGCTTCGGTTTGGGCATCCAGACAGTATCCCAGTCTTCACATTTATTGCCTTATTTCTAATCTAATGTTTTCCCGACCGTTGTTGCTACCTTGACGTGGTGGTCGAGCTTGCCTATCGTGATGAAGCAACCGAGCTACACTGGCTGGAACAACCGTTCCCCAAGGTCCTACCATGTCAGACAGGTCGGTTGAAGAGCGTTAAGACTAAAAGCAACAAACCTAAGGTCCTAAGACAAAGTCGTACTGTTGACTGTATAGAGGTGTGACAGCAGTGAGGTGTTTCCTTCAGACAACCAGCATGACAGCGATGCTGCCTTCCCACAAGGAGGGGTGGAGTTAGAAAAGGTCGACCCTAAAAATGCACACCTCGCCTTATCCTACGGATATCCATCTCCGGCGGTAAGGTCTCAACAAGTACGGAGCTAACACAAAAGTTACTCATAAAAAGGTTGTGTGTGACCGACCTCAAGCAGTTGTCCCTTGGGCACTGCGGTCACGCTCCCAAGTCACTAAGACCACCTCTAATCCAGTTTCCTATTCAGGTACTTCCAGAAGAACCCTTCCACGGTGCGGGCAACCGGGAAGTGATAACCGCCCTCATAACCCTAACAGCACTCAAGACCATAATCTAATGTTTTTATATATTTATAGGTTGCTCTATTAAATTCATCCATACGTACAACTCCTTCTAATTTTTATAAACAATTAAAGAATCTATCCAATTTCAATTTCTGTTATTCAACAATGAATTCAAATTTTTTTCAAAATAATATTAAACATCTTCATACTATAAATGAAATGTTACGTAATCATCGTCATCCTCCTCCTCATCATCATTATGTAACTATGCCAACCGTTTCATCCATTATACAACATAATTTAAATATTATTTTACATATGATTTATTTATATATATCAGATAATGGTAAAACAAATTCTTACTTATTAGGACGTAATGGTGTTGTAAAACTTTTAATACAATTAATTAATTTATTATCTGGACTTTATATATATCGTACATCATCTATTATGAATTCATTATTATCCTCATCGTCCACAGCAACAACACCACCACCGCCGCCAGCAACAACCACAACGGTAACAAGAAGAAAGACAACCGTGTCACCAATTGATATTCCTGAACAGAATTTTATAAAAATAACTAAAAACTCAATGAATGATTACAATATAAATGAAAATGAATTGATTATGAATAATAGTCCAGTGAGATATATTATAGTTGTCATGGCATCATTAATGAAAGGATTGGTGAAATCTCTTGATCATAATGAAAATCAATCATTTCTTGAATTATTAACAGAATATGGTTTACATAATAATTCTGATTTAATAAATTCAATTATATCATTAATTACATCTACGCCTACATTGATTGCTATTGGTGTAAAGCGTAATATTCATTTACTTCGTCTTCTAGTGAATACATTATATTGTCTTACTAAATATAGTAAGTCTAATTATGTGTAATAAGCTTAAAACTATGTAGAATTTTAACAGTTGAAATCGTAAATCGATCTAAGATTAGGCCATCATTTCAAACATAGAAGCAATAGATGACCGTTTCATCTTAGTATGGGACTCCTCAGCTGTGCGCATTCACGTCCTCGTATGCGAGACTCGAAAGTAGTACTTTCGGTTTCGCGAAACAACGCTTAGCTTCTAGACCACTGAGCCAGCATCGAACGGTGTCAATGTCTGACTTCAATCGATCTGTAGTTCTATATTTCTATTTTTTATTGAAAATCTATGGTGCACTACTGAGGAGTCCTATTATACTAGAACCAAAATGTATATAAGGAAATCTAATTTTTTTTAAGATTCGTCCGCTAATGCTGATTGATTGGAAAATGGACTAATGAACATACTCCGACTTGATCGTCACTTAACAATACAACATTCAATGTTTTTACAGGATACATACTTTGATAAACTTCTTAAGTATCAGATACATGACAGAAAATGTAATCATTCATCAGAGATTAAAAAAAATCGATCCAACTGTGAGACTATATTCTGACTCTAATTAGATCGTATGAATGATTGTTGTCACAATCTACATGCTGGCTATTCTCATATATAATTATCGACTTAACTCGCGTTAGTGAATAACGGCAATGCATAAGCCGAATACGAGAATGGAGTTTTGAATACATATTTACTGATCTGGACAGGAAATGAGAGGGATAAAGTAAAATGACGCACGGTGAAGAATGCATGGGAGCCAACTCGATTTAATCAAGCGTTAATCAATATTTATAGTCACACGAAAATAAGTTACAGACATGTGATGAATAGGATAAGAAGTGAACACACATACGCTCAAATAAGTACAGTCCAAGATTGATAAGCGGATAATTGAAAAGGTCAAAATGTAACTCAAGGAGAATCGATAAATTAGTCTGTCCAGAAGTAGAATAAATTATATGGGCTTAACATAGTAACGGACACTACAACTTTGCGGAGATGGCATGTGAGCATAAACATGTAATATATTGAGTACTCTCCACTCCAGCCTATCGAAAGTACATTCAGCATTCCTTGTTCATAATAATACTGATTGATAATGCTGATTTTGAATAGGATTTAAGGTTCAATCAATTTCGATCTAAAAAAGAAATATTTTTTTTAATACATGCAAAGATATGAGTGTATTTTAGAGATGAACCAATCAAAGCTGAGGACGTAATATTCGCAGGTTCTTCCATGCAATTAAAATACATTTGTTATGATTTGTGACCGCCGATTAGAGAGAGCAGTGACTTATCGATCGGATCACGACGCGTAAAACACATGCGAGCAGTCTAGAATTCTGACTGGCCCTGCTTCCCGCCTAGCCCAGCCAGTTAGGTCCACAACACAAGTCTCAGCCTTTGCGATATGAATCATTATATTACAAAAATACTGAATTTATATACCAATCAAACAGACCATAACGTACCAATAAAATATGAAACAACATTTGTACAAGAATTAGCCAGATGTGGCTGCGAATGAGGGAGGTAGTAATTAATATAGTGGGTATAACTCAAGAATGGTAAAACGTATAATACTAGTTCATAAGTCAAAATAAAGCTTATAATAAGATGAACATGAATATGAATAGTTTGGTTATTTAACAATTATACGATAAAAATATACGTATATTATTGGTCCACAAATGGATCCATAAAGTTACCATTCATTATGTTTATCGGGACCTAACAACATTGTATAACGTGAAGTCAAAATACCTTTATATACTGTTCAATACATTCCACGTAATCACAGAGAAGTAATTGTTTTTGACATGGTGAAGTAAAAATGATGATGTTCAATGTAGCAACTCCTCGATCTTGTTTCTGTAAATTGCAATTACCAATGGAATCGACACTATCCCTAAGTTCTAACTCAAACCATTTAACTATGAAACAATTATTTATTATTTATTTATTTATTTGAACACATACATATGCACCACACAATAATAATGAGAATGGGAAGAGATGAAGAATGTATCGCGCGTACAAGAAAAAGGGGGACGGTAACAAACAGCGAGGATTCTTCCAGCTAAAGAAGTTATATCTTTTCTTTTTGTGAAGAAAGTATAATAAGGTTACATCAGGATCGCCACTGGCTTCTATTCTGAGCCATATCTGAAGGCACCTCTAGCCGCTGTGTTTCACCATCTCTAGGACTCCGATCTGGGAATTGTGATGGACCGACTGAAGCTAGTCCTGTAGAATGCTCTTTCATACTGTGTAGTGAACTGGCGGGACAGCGTTGGCTGTAGCGGGTGATATCGACGAAGAAGAGCGGTCGGACGTGCTACTGCTGGGTGGACGTCGGATGTAGATGGCCCGGTAGGTCGAAGAATCTATGAAGATCAACGCGCCACAGACTCGACATTTTGACAAAGTGTCGCACAGACTGCAGAAAAGAAGAAAGTAACATGGCGAGTAGAACCATTACAAGAACGACTGTTTTAAAGGGGGTACATGTGTGATGTGTGTGCTACTTATGTCGACAGACATAATTAGTATGTATCACCAGTTTAAAAGTGAAATGACTGACAGCACAACGTTAGGCAGATCAAAGAAAAGAGATCGAGAACATACAACGAATAATGTGGAAACGAAAGAACAATGAAGTCCCAGACAATTCATGAACATTTTGCAAATGAAGTATTTACTGTATGGTTCTCACATTTTGGTAAGAGATTCTGTAATGTATTTAAACACATTCGATTGTCCCCACTTGTGTTCTCGTTCACTACGATACTACTTATATCTGTCGATATCAGTAGTAGCACATACCATAAGACAAGTAGTAAATATTCAAAATGGAGGCCTAGCATTCAATATGTTAATTTTAATTATTCAAATGATTAAATAGTAGTAACAATAATTACACACTACAATGTTGTTGTTTTTTCCTCCACAGAAAATAATGCTGTACGTGCTAACAATAATAATGCAGTCCCATTACTATTGGATTTATTCCTTGATATACATCGATGTGATTTACAGTGGCGTTGGATTGATCTGCAAAAAAGCTTGTTGAATTGTTTAAAACTATTGACAGAAACAAGTAATTTCAAGTTTATTCATTGCTTTTTGGGTGTCTGTGTATATACATGTATATCTGTATGGTAGTTTCTTTTGGAGGTTTACTGTCTACCATATTCACCTTACTACTTATATCAGTCAGTAGTGAGAGCTGAATAGATTATTTCGTCAATATAGAAAGTGTGATACATCTTACAACATTATATGAAAGATCAAAGTGTTTTAGTATATGTCTATCAGATCATTATTGATATGATAAAGTATCAAATAGAATTTACCGGTTTTAAGCTTTTATATTCATTCAAGTTAATGAGTCGATGAGTTTATAGTTTATAAATGACGTTTGAACAACGTTTAAGTGAACTTGATGTAATTTAAGTACTCATTAGAGTTACTAGTATCCACTTAGGGGTGTTGGAAAACTCTTATTCCAAACCAATAGTGTATATGGACTACGGGAACTTAAGAAAACAAATAGTGTATGAACCAATTGTTGGTGACCGGCTACCATGCTCCATTCCCTTGTGGATTAAGCCTTTAGGTCAAAGGCTCCAGGTGTGATCCTCTAAGAAAACCACTTGTTAGGGTTAGGAACTAGAATTAAAGTTTTCATCATGAATTGACATTAACTATGATTTACCCATGTGGATGAATGAATTTCATGCTAAAATCTAAGACTTGCTAACTTCAGTCTAACTGATTCATCCATAAATAATAATCCCGCCAATGAATCATACATTACGCTTACTAAGTCATTGTATACACTTTAGTATTAGTAATATTGGTTAGAATTATAAATGAAATACAACTGTGATAGACAGCTTCAAAAGATTTTATTAAGAACTACTGAGATGATGCTGTTAGATGGAATCAGATATTCACAGAAGGTAAAACATTTAAAATTCTTATTACTTGCTTACCTATACATGTTACCTGTCGTAGACGAGCTGAGTCATTTGCGAAATCTAAACCATTTAGTTGCATGCAAGCTGTACACTGTATTCTGTGCTTCCCCTCCGATGTTGAGGTCTTCACAATCCAATCAACCACCAGAAGAAAGAGAGAGAGAGTGAACAACCTTGTCTGACTCCGGTCCTCACTTGGAATGCATCTGTTGTCTGTTCTTCATTCACGACTTTACTGTGTAGTCCGTCGTACAAATTCCTGATGATATTGACAATTTTCTCAGGTACACCATAGTATCGGAAAAGGTACCATAACATCCTCCTATCCACACTATCAAATGCTTTCTCATAATCAATGAAGTTTATTTATAGTGACTAGTTCCATCCAATTGATTGTTCAACGATAATCTATAGTGTCTTGACTTGATCTTTGCACGACCGATTATATCTGTTTTCTTTTTATAGTTATGACGTACATATTATTCTAATTATAAGCTTTCATTTAACCTATTAACTGTCGATGTATCTTTCACCGTACCGGAATAATAATAAATTAATTAGTGTAACACCTGATCACGTTTAGTGTGAGCGTTTTTTTTTACGAGTTAGCTTTCTACGGGATCGGGTCGCTAACCTCATGCCTAACCCTCCTTTATTCGGACATAGGACCGGAAGTAGCCTCAAACGGGCTCCAGGCGGAGCCCTGTATTGTATTATATATTTCTTTACATTTATTTAGAATTTTACTATTCTAAATACTTAATATATGTTGACTTACTTACTGATAATGGATGGCTTAAAAAAACTCCACACTCAAGGTTCACGATATAAATTCCAAAGATGAGAAGAGTTTCCTCTATACTTTATGCGTAATTGATTGGTTATTAAGTAGTGATGTTTTTATCTAGTTTTTCAGTAATGATAGAATTTTATGAATCAAATTGCAATGTGGACAATAGTCTCAGTGATTTGGAATTGCGTGCATTAGGCTATAAGAAACTGTGTACTACAATTTCATGTTAGCTGATACACGTCAGTAGAGTTGATTTGAAATTTTAAGGGAACTAGTGACCACATTGAAACTTTATTGATATAATGTAGTCACTATTAAAGGATTAGACAAACTTAACATTGTTCACTATTCAATGATTAGTCAATTGTTAAAATCCTAGTTCTACAGGAGATCATCCACGGTCTGAATAGCTCATTGAAAGCTTGTCAAGTGGTAAAACAGTATAAATGAAGTTCAAATCTTCTAGTAAGTATCAAGATTACGTGTATACTATGCTGAAAAATCTCAACGAACATGAAACCTAGATTTACTCAGATCTACTATCATCTAACGCTAGCGATATACGATATTTTGTGTTGTTGAAATTCATTAATGACAAATCAATATGAGAAACAGCATATTTATTGTTTTCTCTACTGAATCATAAATGAGTTAATTGAAGCTAGACCACCATGGAAAACCTAGAAACACTGGACGGCCATTTTGTCCTGTTGTGGGACTCCTCAGCAGTGCGTATCCACGATTCTACTTCTCAAGATTCGAACCCAGAACTTATCGGTCTCGCACGTGAACGCTTAACCTCTAGACCACTGATTTGGTCGGCATCCAACAACGGTAACGTCTAACTTCAACTGTCCAGTGTTTCCAGGTTTTCCATGGTAATCTAACTTCAATTGACTCATGATCTCAACCATTAAACTTTCTATAATACCCACAAAACCCCTGCTGATATGAATGATAAATGTCATGTATAATTCATTCTAGATATTATCTTACTAGTGTTTTTTTTATCCCATATCTTTTATTTAGATTCTGGACGTAAAGCTTTAATTAAATGTAATGGATTTCATACATTATATGCTATTTGTATTGGTTATATAGGACCTGATCCACTTAATCGAACTAAACATGTTATCTTATCAAAAATTATTTCACAATATAAAACTATGAAATCTTCTACTCATCATAATGAACAAATAGATCCAAATATTAATCAATATAATCAATTACATTGTAAAACACGCTTAGCAACAACAACAACAACAATCATGGATACTGTTGATAGAACATATTCATCATTAATAAATAAAAGGTTACATATAGAAAATGTATATTCTAATAAAAAGAATATTGATTTGTCAACTTGTTCATCTTCAATTTCATCGACTATCAAATCGCCATCATCATCAGCAGCAGCAACAGCAGCAGAAGCATCGTCATCATCATCAACTTTATCTTCTTATAAAACTATCTGTAGAAATGTGAATCAACTTGAAATGGATAAATCGTACATCTTTGATAATGATCCAAATAGAATTCATAAGCAATATCGAATATATTCTGATCCAATTAAAATTCTAATACAAATATGTATATTATTACGTCGTTGTAGTCCAAGATGTAGTTTACCAATAATTAGTGCTGAAAATATTCTTAATTGTTCATTACCGTCTAATGGTTTGTAAATGTGAATTATTCTTTTTTTCTCTTTAATTTGTGTATATTCATGATATGGAAAATGTGTCCCCGAATGCTCTGAAACGGCTGGGAGTGAGGAGAGTTAGCTCTCCATCTCCAAATGCTCTCACATGGCCATGTGCATACAACCACAACCAGGGAAGTTCTACTCACTACCTTCTCTTAGCCGGGGCATTGTTTACGAATTTGAAAGGATGGAAAGCTAATGTCCGGTGCTTTAAGTGGGTTGGTGGATATGGAGGATCCATCTAGGGGAGTTGATAAACACTCATTCCAAACCACTGGTGCACATGGGCTCCAGGATCCTGAGAGAACAAATGGTTTATGAACCAATTGTTGGTGATCACCTACCATAGAACTGAATCTGCTAATGTTGCTTCACTGCCTTGTGGATTAAGCCTTTAGGTCAGAGGCTCCAGGTGTGGCTCCCTTAGAAGACCACGTGCTTCGGTTTGTAAGAAAGGGTCAAAATCATCCTGTGACAACCACAGAGGGATTAGTTTAACAAACATAGTATCTAAAATACTGGCCTCGATAATTATCAAACGCCTAACTAAGACTCGTGAACTACAAACACGAGAGACTCAAGCTGGCTTCAGACCTGGTCGTGGTTGCATCGATCACATATTCACCATTCGTCAGGTTCTAGAACACAGGCATACCTATCGGCGTCCGACGATGATGGTCTTTCTTGACTTAAAAGCAGCATTTGACTCTGTAGACCGCGAGACTCTGTGGCAGTGTCTGTCATTGAAAGGCGTACCTCAGAAGTATATAAACCTTGTGAAGGCTCTTTACTCGAACACTACTAGTCGAGTCAGGCGAACTGGCGAACTGTCATCTACTTTTGCAACCTCAAGTGGTGTCCGTCAAGGCTGCCCACTTTCCCCATTTTTGTTTAACTTCATCATAGACCTACTGATGGAAATAACATTCTCGTCGACTGAATTCTCGGGTATTGACCCCTTCCAGGAGGTCCACTTATCGACTTAGAATACGCAGATGACATAGTCCTGTTTGGTGAAGACGCTGACAAAATGCAGAGTCTTCTGGCAGCACTAAGCAGCAATGCCAGAATGTTTAGCATGCGCTTCTCTCCCTCTAAATGCAAGTTGTTGCTTCAGGACTGGCCTGCGTCAACACCTTAACTAAGGATAGGGAGTGAAGTAGTCGAACGCGTTGGCAACTTCACTTATCTTGGAAGTCTGATCAGCCCTAATGGGTTGGTGTCTGACGAAATCTCAGCACGGACTCGAAAAGCTCGTTTGGCTTTTGCCAAATTACGTCACCTTTGGCAGAGGCGAGATATCCGTCTATCAATAAAAGGACGAGTATACTGCGCGGCAGTCCGTTCTGTTTTACTTTACGGCAGCGAAACATGGCCTTTAAGAGTAGAAGACACCCGTAAGTTACTAGTATTTGACCACAGATGCCTTAGAAATATTGCCGGCATCTGTTGGGATCACAGGGTAAATAATAGTGAGGTTAGACGCAGGGTATTAGGGAATGATGGTAAATCAGTTGATGAGGTTGTGAATCTTCATCGACTGAGATGGTTCGGCCACGTGTTGCATATGCCTGAACACCGATTACCACGACGTGCAATGCTATCCGGTATTGGAGATGGTTGGAAGAAAGGGGCGGCCAAACCAAAACGTGGCATCAGTGCTTGAAGTCACTAACTTCTAGTCTGAGCCATGTTGGTAGATGCAGACTACTTGGTTGGGGTCCGCGTGACTTTTGTAAACAATGGTTGGAGACTCTGGGTGACATGGCTCAGAATCGATCACAATGGCGTCAGTGTATACACTCTCTGTCTTCCCTTAAACTAAGAGATTAAAATCACTTCATATCTTTCTGTCTACGAACTAATTCTTTCTTCCTATACTATATCCTTATTGCAATCTTTCTCCTATATATTACCACCTTTGACCTAACCACTCCTATGAATCCGGTGTTCATCTTGCTGTGCTAATGCGGTATGGCAACCTGGACCGATGCACATATGTGCCTGGTCCTACGTTGTAGCTGACTGACTGACTGACTGATTTCGGTTTGTGCATCCGGGCAGTATCCTAGCCTCTCACACAAATCGAGTGATTTATGTGGTACGCATCTATTTGGTGCCTTTTGTGCCAATATTTATGTGTTTAAATAAATAAATATGGGAAATGTAGTTGAATACGAGATAAGTAGTAGTTTTTTATAGTATAGATGTAATGTTACTAGTTATGGAATTAAGGATATGTATTTCATACAATTTGGGATTTAAGAATTAGATGTGTACCTACACTGCAAAGTTGATATTCCTCTCCGAGTGTTAAAGAGACATAGATTGGATTGAAGTATGTTCCATACAGGATTTCGTTAGGGCACGGTGATTGGTTATTTCTTACCCAAACGGCGTCACTGGATACTTGGAGCAGACTGTAGAATCTTCTCATGTAAAAACTATAAGTATATAAAAGGTTTATCTTATTGTGTTTCTTACTTCCATCTACCCTTGTTATTTGGAATATAATTTCGTTCCTGTTCAACTGTGTTCTTATTTGGGGATTTGTCAAGTGAATTATTGTTCAAGAACACTAAGCAATAGGAGTAGCTGGGTGATTATAAAGGAAATTATAACACCGGGATTCGAACCTAGTACCTTTGGTTCCAAGGGGAAATGTGTTATCTACAACAAGTTATTCCATACCATTATAAATTTTGTGTACCAAATTTGACATTTAACATCTTACTTTGTTCTTAGTATAAGTGATTTTTGAATTTTTGTGAATCTTATGGTTCACATCTTAAACGAATTATAACAAGTCAACAATCGAAAACCAGGAACTTCTAGAGATAACCATTTTTGTCCTAGAAAGTCATTCCATACAATTACATATCTATGACCTTGCTAGGATTCGGACTTAAGACGTTCAAACCACGAGCAAAACAGTAATTAACTATGGTACAAATTTTACTAGTCAATTATTTTGTGGTACATTTCATCAGTCATCACCGTAGATACTTCACAAAAAAAGTCAGTCACGGGGTTTAACTTTCCTCTAAAGTTGTATTTATTTATTTATTTTAGACGCATCATCGGCTTCGTTGTTACGTCGCAATTCAGAGCCACTGATTCAGTGAGTTTACAAGCACCTTGTTTGTTAACTTAAAATTTTCCTCTAATTCTAAAGTGTTTATTTTCAATATGGGCCTTTGTTGAAATTGTTCAGTGTTGTAGAGGTCATAAAATGACATAAGTTTGACATCTACGAAAAATCAAGAAGCACTGAGCATCTATGTCACCCTGCTATGGGTTTCCTCTGTCATCTGTAACCACAACTTCATTCGGGATTATGAGGTAGTTCATAGAGTTCTGGTGAGAAACAATAATCAGTGGAGGTTAACTGTATCAAATAAGAGGCAGTTGCCTACCGAAGACAATGAAATATGGTATCGCATTATCACAAATGGATTGAGTTTATACATGTAAATCATTGGATACTAACTCAGTGATCTAAAGACTAGACATTCAATGAGTGACCTGAAGGACTCGACTCCTCGACTCCTTTTGGTGAGATCGTGAATAGACACTACTGAGGAGTACTTTTATAAGACAAAACAGCTATCTAAGTCTGTTCGTGATCTTAAGTGCCTATCTGGCGAGACTATAATATATGGATGACCCTTGAACGAGATCTAAGTGACCTTGAAAAACACTAGCCAATCAGAAAACGGTTAGTACAGAGTGAAAATAAGTTATGCAAAACTAAAGAATTGAAGTGGATACCTTTCTTTTACATGTTTCAAAAATTCGTCAATGTAAGAAAAAAGGTTCCAAGGTTCTAAAGTCTCAATGCATACGATAGAAGAACTCATCCATATGGCTCCATAATAGTCGGCCTTCGGATCCATGATAAGGTCGCAAAACTCTTTCACTCTCGACTACATAGCTTAGATATTGTTCGTGTGCACTCCGGTTGTCGAGTCCAAAAAATGCCACTTGTGGACGACGACGTGATGCACGTAATCAAGTCTGTGTAGGCATCTGTACGATCTGCAATCATCCGTATATATTGTAGTACTCGGCTGCAGCCACTGTTACTGGTACTTTTATTATCCAGTTCGCAATTTGCTTTAGTCTTGATCTGAATCGAGCGAAAAACCATATTCTAGCAGACTTCTTCCTCTAATATATATATCACATCAAAAGGCAACATCATCACGTTAGTCTGCACAAGTTACAAGATTACCACAATCACAAATGAAGAAACGTCTTAGTAGTCCCATTTATTGTAGTCGCTCAATTATCCAATTCTCTCTACAATCCGCTGTGAACCGATCGTATGTGAGCATAAGGTACTGAAATTGGCGCTGTGACCTTGAAATCCCTCAAACACTTCTAATCGACTCGTCCATAAATTACAGTTTCGCCTTTTTTGGAGGGGGGTTGTTTTTACTTAAAGCTGATTAACAACTAAATTCTCTTTTCATTAGTATCAGTAATAACACGTATAACACATCATGGTTGATTAATCTCGGTAATACACAAAGTTTGCAGTTATTTTTTCTACAAAGAGAGGACTGATGATGTATGTCTTGCACTGGGATACATGACGCGCATTTCATTTTATATGGGTTTCTTCAGTTAAGTGTATCTTGATCCTAGTGTTGATATTCACACTAAGATTCGAGCCTGGTACCTTTACATTTAAAACACTCACGTGACTGATACCAATTACTTAGTAACTTGTTAGTAATCTAAGCGAATACTTAATTCTTTTCGATTCGTTTCTTATCATTCCTTGACAGTGATTTGTAACTTTACATTTGAATCAATCGCTTATCGATACTTTAGTAGTTAAGTATTAACAATAAGATTATATTGATCGATATAATACTCTTATCTGTTCCAGTGTTTCATTAAATTTTCTCTTTTTTTCTCATCTACTTTTTTTCATAGAAAAGATAAGTCCACTTCACCTGGAATTGAAAAATCCAGTATGTCAATTAAAAATTTTTTAATATCTCCTGATAATAATGTTAACCATCATGCTTAAACTTGGCCAAGACTTATACCAAGTATCTAGTTTCAACAGTTCTCAAATCCTCCATATTGACAATTATCATGTTCTCACAAGTGACTAGAATCACGAAGAAACTTCTGGGATTCTAGAGTGAAGTCGTGACCAGTGAAATTAAATTATATCGTATATGAAGAGGGTATTCACCGAAGATAATGGGAGATGGTCGCCTAATATTGTATGTCGGTTGAAGTTAAACTCCTACATAATTGTATATCGGCTCACTGGTTTGGGGGTGAGGCGTTTACACATGAGATCGAAGGTTCATTGTTGAGTACTCAGATTAGAAGTCACGGATAGGCACTGTTGAGGAGTCCTATAATGGTGTGAAATGACCGTCTATTGCTTACAGGTTTTCAATGGTTGTCTAACTTGGACCGGTTCGTGATTTCAAAGAAATACCGTATTTCTATTAAAAAAAATTCGATCTGGCAAATTCAACTAGTTTTATCGAAGCCAAATATTGAATATTTAGATCGTTGTACCCGAATAATAGTTTAGTAAGCAGAAATAGGATAAATTATAGAGTTTAATGTTAAGATAGGAGTATGTACACAATAGAATGGTTTAAATAGATGATTACAATATATTTGCTTCACGGGTTAGTGAGACAGCATATTGTTATATCCCGATTATTTATTTATTTGAACACATATATATTGGTACAGGAGTGCGCCAAATATATATGCGCCACACAATTTCAGTTCATTAATTGCGTGTGGGCTGCGATACTGTCCGGGTGCCCAGACCGAAGCAGGTGGTTATCTTAGGGGGCCACACCCCGAGCCTTTGACCTAAAGGTCTAACCCACAAGGCAGTGGAGCATCGTATTGAGATGCAGTCCCATGGTAGCCGGGGACCGAAAATTGGTTCATACGCCATTTGTTCCCTCAGGATACTGGAGCCCATGTGCACCATTGGTTTGGGATCTGGTTAAAGCGCCGGACATTCTCTTTCCGTCCTCTCATTTTCGTAAACAACATCCCCGCCACGAGAAGGCAGTGAGTAGGATTTCCCTCACATAGGCTGTATACGCATGGCCGTGTGAGATTATTTCGAGAGGGAGGGTGAACCCACCCCGCTCTCCGCCATACCAGGGCATTTGGGGGCTATATCCTGATAAGAATAATGAATGGTAATTCTTGGGATCAATTTATGGACCAATACTAAACGTATATTTTTATCGTATAATTGTTAAGTAACTAAACTATTCATATTCATGTTCCTCTTATTATAAGCTTAGATTTGACTCATAGACTATTATTATACGACTTACCATTCATGAGTTATGGCCTGTCTATTAATAACTATCTCCCTCATTCACAGCCACTTTTGGCCAAATATTGTACAAATGTTGTTTCCTATTTTACGGTACGTTGCGGTCTGTTTGTTTAGTATATAAACCCCGTATGTTTGAAAATAAACGATTCATATTACAGAGGCTGGGATTGGTGTTCTGGATACAATTGGCTGGACTAGGCGGAAAGCAGGACCAAACAGAACTCTGGGCTGATCGCACGGTTTTTATGCGTCACTGGTCCGATCGATAATTCGCTGCTCTTTGATTAGCGGTATCGTTGACTTATCCAATATACATGGCACACAGGTTCACAAGTTATAACACATATGTTGGTAGTACAAAATAAGATGACGGATTTTCAGCTGTTATTCAGGCTTGACTACTCGTATGATCCCTCGTTCAATAACTTACCGTCATTAAGTGTTAAATTTTCATCGATCTGTAAGCATCTGCTACAAAACCAGTATTTTTTTAGTGAAGTATAATTTCGAATTGTTGTATTGTGCGGTATTGGATACACTATTTATTTTATTTATTTATTTGAACACATAAATATTTTTCCAAACGGGCACCGAATACATATGCGCCACACAAGTCAATTGATTTGTGTGTGAGCTGTGATACTACCCGGGTACTCAGACCGAATGTTTTCATTGATCAGGAGCAAAAGTCCGAGTTTCAAAGACGACCAGATACCGTCGTAGTTGTGACCATAAACGATGCAAACTGACGATCCGCGTTTGTTCTATGATTGACGTCGCGGGCAGTCCCCGGGAAACCTTTAAGTCTTTGGGCTACAGAGGGAGTATGGTTGCAAAGCTGAAACTTAAAGGAATTGACGGAAGGACACCACCAGAAGTAGAGCCTGCAGTTTAATTCGACTCAGCACGATAAAAGTCACCCGGCCTGGACACTGTGATGATTGAAAGATTGGTAACTCTTTCTTGATTCGGTGGGTGATGGTGCATGGCCGTTCTTAGTTGGTGAAGCAATTTTTCTGGTTAACTCCGATATTGGATACACTAGCGCAACCGGCTCCTTAGGCATCCGAATTGAGAGGCAGCTATACACTCATAAATGTATATATAATGTAATTCTTCCTTAGAACTTTAAGCTACATATTCAACTAATGATATGCATCTCGTTCCCCAGAGAAAGAAGCTAGATCTCAGTCCCTATCAATGTCTAATTGATCCAATGTATCATAATCTATTTCTACCTTTGAAAAATCCAGACCCTTAACATTAAAAATGTAAAAAAGCATCTTATACAGGTTACCTTACCTTCAAGTAGGAAAAATAATGACGTGTAAATTCATCCGTATAAATTCGGACTGTCCATCTTCTTGAATCTGTTAAATAACTCCAATAGAATTCTTAAAAGCAATGTACAAAGGTGTTTCTACTTCTTGTTATACAATTTATTGCTTTCTCAACTTATAATTGGTCCATTCTTAAGTCATATTCTAACAATTTCAAGTTTTAGTTTAATTTGTAATGATTTAAATTATCCCATTTTTATCAGTGTGGGGATTTTTGGAGATTCTAGTAATTTACACAGTTGAATTCATGAGTCGATCTATATTAAACGACCATCGAAAACCGATTTTTGATATTTTGACTGAAATTTCATCAGTTTACATTAGCGTATGTACAATCTGGTATGCTTTTACCGGGTATGAGGGCTGATGTCACTTCTCGGCTGCTCACACCGTGGAAGGGTATTTCTTGACGAACTTGAAAAGAAAGTTGGATTAGTGTTGGTCTTAACGACTTGGTAGCGTGACCGCAACTGTATTGGATGACCGTTTCGTCCTAGTATGGGACTCTTCAGCAGTGAGTGCCCACGATACCGCTCGAGGGATTCGAACCCAGGACCTTCGGTCTATAGGTTAATTGTTCACCCGCGAGGCCAAAGGTCCTGGGTTTGAGTCCTGCGAGAGGGATCGTGGATACTCAGTGCTGAGGAGTCTCATACTAGTACTAAACGTCCGTCCAGTGCTTACGGGTTTTCCATGATGGTCTAGCTTTAATCGACTCGTGAATTTAACTATTAAGAACTACTACAATTTCCACAAAACCCCATCCTGTTTCTAGTTTCATGTTTTAACGTCTTCTGTGATTATTTCTTTTGTTTATATACATTTATTGTCAAAGATACTGCCAAACCTAAACTTCATCAACAAATATCTTGTTCAACTAATATTTCAAATATGAAAAAGAAGTAAGTATGCATTTACTGTTTGTGTAGATTTAATTTTAACACTTATCCAACCAATTCTATTCAATTATGCTATATGTAAGACTTCTCATTTGGATACATCATGATAGTAATAAATATGTAGAGAGAAATTCAAGGGACTTTCTGTTATATGCAAAGATGTATGGTGATTAGCAATAAAATTCAGGATGTTCATTTCGTCCTTTTTGGGACTTGTTTTTAGTTAGATGTGCTGTGGGACTCGAACTCAGCACTGTCCGCTTCAAACATCATCGCATTATCCACTTAGTTACTGAGTCCCGATAACCACCTGGTTGTGCAATAGGGTGATATATATATAGTTATTATTCATAACCTTTTGTCATTCCGATTCTTTTTATTTACCTATATCAATTGTTTCACACTATATCTTACCTCAATGTAAACTTTCAATGAATAAACAGATGATAAGAAACCAAGAAATATATAATGAATTCTTATTATTCTGCAACAATGTTTATTCAGGCTTTGTTTAAATTCATAAATAGAACTAATTGTGTGACATTGAAATCCTTGAATAATTAGACCATCACTATACTTTCAATCAACCGAGCATTTTGACGATGATTCTTTTCTTGATAGTTTTTTTTCTTTTATTATTGATTAGATGATTGTCAAGTATACTGATAGTTGTATTGAAATCACGAGTTAGACAACCATTGAAAACCTAAAAGCATTAGACGGCCGTTTCACATCAGTATAAAACACCTCAACAATGTGCATCTACGACTTCCAATCCAAGTACTGAACAATAAATCTTTAATCTCACATGTGAACACCTCACCCCCAGACAAGTGTTCTAATATCCAATCATGCAGAAGTCTAATTTCAATCAATACACGTTATTGGGCGATCATTCCCCATTATCTTCGGTGAACACCTTCCTCACACTCGACATGATTTCAATCCCACTGGTCATGACTTCTCACTAGTATTCCGGAAATTTCCTATCGAAGGTAGTTACGAGGATGAGATGTCTTCAGAGAGCTTCTAGGTTTTCATTGATTGTTTTACTTAGATCAATTTGTGATTCCAACATAATCTAGTAACATTATTTACTTGAAAATTATCCATATTTATATACATTCTCTTTCATATTTTGTAACTTTTCTACAGTTTGTTTGTTTGTTTCTTTCTTTTCTTCCTTCTACTATTAAAATAATGAACCATTGATAAATTTATTTCTTTTTATAAATGAAAGAAAGTACATTTTACACCATGTTTTTTTCTTCATACATGTTCCACTGTAGATACATGTGTTACAAATTCACTCATCTCCACCCCCTATCTCTCATATATATTTATACCCCCTATCCTTTTTAATCTCTCTATCTCTATCTTTTCATGATTATTTTGTTTTCTCTTTTCCATTTTTTTTCTTTTATTTATAACCTTTCCAAGGTTATGTGAAACTTCACTCCTACACAAATCTTCCTCTATTCATGATGATGATGATGATGATGATGATGATGATGATGATGATGATGATGATGATGATGATGATGATGATGTAACCAACAATCGAAAATCTTCATCACAACAAATGAATTCAATTAATTTTATAATGAATAATCCATTTATTGGTGTAACATCATCTAATGATTCTAAATTATTATTATCATTATGCAACACTACTACTACCGATACTACTACTACTACTACTACTAATAGTAGTAGTAGTAATAATAATAATCCCAAGGTTATTCGGAAGAAATCCATTGATAATCGGAAACAATTAATCAATGTTAATAATAAAGGAATTACAACTAAATTAAATCAATCTTATTACTATGAAGTTAATTCTCTCATTGTAAGTGCATCATTTGTTGTAAGTTGTAATTTAAATTGTGATCTTGATCATTTGTACTGTATAATTTGATCGTTTCATACAACAAACAGAGTATTTATAAACAATGATAAATAGTGGCTAACAGTGGAACTCAGAACTCAGTAGCTAAGTGGATAACGCAATGGCATTTGAAGCGAATGGTACTGGGTTAGAGTACCAGAGTGAACATCAACAAGTCTGAAATGCAGGCATATATCCAGATGACGAGTCCCAAATAGGATGAAACGCGCGTCTTGGATTCCACTGCTAGCCACTATCCATCTTTGCTTACAAATAGCTTGTGAATTAAGGTAATATCGAGGCATACACAGTATGCATATATGCCAAAAAGAGACTGATCAATTGCAGTCTTAAACCTCAATGGGAAGATACAAGCCAAACAATATCAAGTGAATTCAAATTCATCCCATTGCACAAGCAAGTGGCTATCAGGACTCAGTAGCTGAGTGGATAACGTGATGGCGTTTGAAGCAAATGGTACTGGGTTCGAGTCCCAGAGTGGATATCAACAAATCTGAGATGCAGGTTTATCCAACTGACGATTCTCAAATAGGCCGAAACGCGCGTCCTGGATTCCACTGCTAGCCACTATCCATCATTACTGACAAAAAGATGAATAGTGGCTAGCAGTGGAATTATAGGATGCGCATTTCGTCCTATTTGGAACTTGTTTTCAGCTGAATATTTCTGCATCCCAGAATTAATGTTCACTCTAGGACTTGGACCTAGTACCCTTTGCTTTAAATATCATCGTGTTATTTTTTGGTGATATGGAAAATGTGGTATCGTTTAATCTTACTGGCGAACTTAAATGATTTGTGAATTGACCTTGGGAAAATGTCCACTCATCGTAGCCAATAGGGTGAATCTAATTTATTGGAACAAGTTAATAAGGAACGAAACTTTATTTAGCGAACCACAAATAAATATATATGGATGAATGATTTGAAATGCTAGGAATATGATTTATGTTTTAGCATTAAGGTTTATTTTCTATAAATGTTCATCATAAACCGTACATTCGAACTTCTAATTGTAACTCAAACCCTAAATCCTAAACTCTATATTCTGATTCTGTATCTTAGATTTTATTCCTAATCTCAACTTTAAGCGTGTGCTTTTGTCATAAAATTTCAGTTAGTGATCTCGAGTGCTGTTAGAGGTGTAAAAACGATTATCACTTCCCGATCTCCCACACCATGGAAGGGTTCTTCTGTAGGTACCTGAAAAAGAAATTGGATTAGAGGTTGGCTTAAGCACGTGACCACACTGCCCAAGGGACAACCGCTTGAGATCGGTCATACACAACCTTATGGTGTGTAATTTCCATGTTAGCTCCATACTTGTTGAGAACTTATGCCAGAGACGGAAGTCCGTGGGATAAGACGAGGTGTTCATTTTTAGGGTCGAACTTTTGTAACCTCAACCTTCCTTGTATGAAAGCAACATCGTTATTATGCTGGTTGTCTGAAGGAAACACATTACTGCCGTCACACCTCTGTACAGTCAGAAGTACGACTTCGCCCCCCCCAGTATTGGGTTTGCTGCTTTTAGTCTTACTCTTTCTGACATGGTAGGACCCTGAGGAACGATTGTTTCAGCCAGTATAGGTCGATTGGTTTATTGCGATAGGCAAACCCGACCACCGCGTCAAAGTAGCAGTAACGGTCGGGTTATGTATGTTCGATAAACAGCAATCTGTTTTAGTACATACACTTGGGCCTTGAAAAAACTTGTTCATCCTAAATTAGCTCATAGTTATAATTTAGTTTTACCTGAAATAACTCTGTTAATGCTTTGCAGTTTTCAACAACTTCGTAACAAATATCAGTTCACGACTAAAACTGTTATCAAAATAATTTCTTATTTTGAATCTTGATTCATTGATAAGCAATAACTTCCTGTTCTATGGAAATAATTTTATGTTGTGATTATTCGCTGAATTTTCATAGTGGAATGATATCAACTATGTAGTCAACTAAACACCAGTTTTAAACTTATCACATTCACCCTAGTGACTAGCTCCAAGATGCGATCCCTGGACATCCGGTGAAAAAAGTTAACTAGTAAAGTTCAGCCACGTTACATGTTAGATAGCTACCGAACGTAGGCAATGATCGAGGGTTGGGCAATATCGTGAACTGACTGAAGTTAGAGATTAACGTCGTCGGACTCCGCGTCAGTGATCTAGAGTTTGGGTGTCCTCACGCGAGGTTGAAAGTCCTGATCTCGGTTTCCAGTATCGGAACCGTGGATTTGTACTGCTGACATATCTCATACGAAGACGAAACAATCGTCCAATGCTCCCAGGATTTCAGTGGTAGTTCAGCTAAGATCTGTTTTTGATTGACACTATTGGAACTATTAACAAAGGTTCCATTATCGAATCTTTGACTCAATTTGCAAATCTCATATTGTACAACTAAGGTTTAATTAGAGCAATGATTTGAACATCATTCAACAGAAAATAAGTCATGGGCTCTGATTCAAATCTTTTCCAATCTTTTCTCTATCTATTGTCACCGCTTGATGTATGCTAAATGGAGAAGAGGGAAGGCCAAAGAACACACTGTCCTGAGAATTGGACGTAGAGATGAAAAGGATGAATAGCAACTGAAAAGAATTGCCGAGGATATAGTGGAATAGAGAATGTTGGTGGGCTGCCTATACCTCCCCCATGAGGGAAAACAGGTGTAAGTTCCTTCACCAACCATAAGAATGATAATACATAACTTATTCCGTTGATATTTATTCATTAATGAAACAACCTCGTTTAATTACAATGTCTACCAATCAAACACTTCTGACTGATAGTCATCAAAGAGATCCGAAATGTCATTTTTTTAATCTGAATAAACCTTTGATAACCATACAGCCTGATAGTATATCTATATCTTAAGTGTCTTTTAAAACACAAGCGCGTCCAAATGATGCATTCAGACAATCAGATATCGACTTGATGATAGCCACATGTGATTGGTTAAGATATGGCTTCTTTTTTCTATTCCTCCAGATGCATCTCATTAGTGGGAAAATGTTTCTAAAACACTTAAGAGATAAATATTTAGTTGGTCAATGAAAAGCTTCATTCTCATTCAAATGGTTGGCTAGTTTCACAAATAGGAAGCTTATTTATCGGTATCAGAATTGGACAGCTAACAGTAGAACATTAACATCACTGAAACCTGTATAAGACGTACTCATTTTACATTGAGTATATTTATTTCCCTGTGACGATAAGCAATTCACACTACTATATACATTTGAATTTCTAGAATAAAAGGGTACCTAAAATCACCAATATGAATTCCAAAAACCTTCATAGTAAATCAATAAACGATCTGTATACAAATAACCAGGTATACAATAATTCATCAATAGACACATTCATCAGTCAGTCTTGTACAGAATTAGCAAATACACAACAATTGAATAAATTATGTCGTATACAGAAACTGAAGATTCTAAGAAGAGGAGAAGATGAGAATTCGAATCAATCTGAGAAGCAACAGGATTTCAATGGTGCAATAAGTGATAAATTACCCGTTACCGGTGACAAATTCACTTCATATCAACAGATCAGTTCATCTAATACATCATTAAAATCACCAGAAATATTCGATATAATTGAACAGAATACTCAGAATATTGATGGTGATGGTGGTGATGACAATGACGAAGAAGAATTGGAAGACGAAGATGACAACAATGATAATGAAGATGATGATGATGGTGCTAATGTAATTGGACACGAGGATACCACAACAACTAGTCAACGATGCACATTTAGTGAATTAATTTCAAGTCATTTAAAATTTTTTCCCGAATGGTTTGATCTACCCAATGTAAGTGGTGTTTATTCTATACCCATCGTATATTAGTTTCGTAAAAATGTTTTTTCAAAATATGATTTTATCAAGAAACTAAATGCTTACAAACTTGAGATGGTGGCTAGGATTTGTAGCTCTGGTGGATGGTTTTGATAGGGTTTTGTTCTCTGGGCTGGATGGTTTGGTCGTGGAGCTTTCGTCGTTCTTCTGAACGACATCATCAGCATAAACTCCAGGTAGAAGTGGAGTTTGTGCTGATGATGTCGTTCAGAAGAACGATGAAAGCTCCACGATCAAACCATCCAGCTTAGTGTTTACAAACTGTTCAAACTTACACTTTAATATTTCTCACTGGACAAGATTACTTCATAATAGAATCTGCTAATTATGAACTTCATTTATACCTATCGAACTGATGATCCCCTCTTCGATCAATTACATAATGACTGAACCCCAAACGTCTGTTTTCCGTGATCTCCTTCAAACTTCACTATCCAACCAGGGAATAAATACGAACCTTAAATACATGATCACAATAAACCACAAATATGTAAATAAAAACAAAATGCTTTAGTAGATATCTAATTAATTCACAATAACTCCAGAACAATTAGATATACAATGAGTAAGATAGAAGCTTACAATTAATGGGGATATAAAGTATTATAACCCAATATTTATGTTAAATAGACATACCTTACTAATCAATGATTTAATATACTTGTTTATCAATCAATTAATGTTCAAACGACTGATGACTATCAAAATGCCAGTAAATGATCAAGAAATATCGATGAAATAGTCGATAATATTGGAGTTCTGTTTTGTGATTTTGATATGTTACTGCGATTAGCGTCTCAGGACATAAAAGGTGTTAGTATAGGGTTGAGTTTAGATTGATATCATGAATGGTGGATAAATATTAGATCATGATTGAAAAGCTGGAAGTAGTGGACAACCCTTTTGTCCTAATATGAGATTAGTCAACAGTGCGCATTCACGATCATGTGCGCAAACGCCTAACCTCTGGACCACTGAACTGGCGTCCAATGGTATCAATGTTTAACTTCAAACTATCCACGATGTTACACGACCGTCTTCCATTGTCTTCAGTGAGTAGCTACCTCACAACAGACACGGTTGAACTTTACTAGTTACGTCTTCACACTAAACTTCTGAGAATTACCTCTCAAAGTTAGTCCATAGTGAGCACATAATGATTATCAGTATAGGGTTGTGTAGTAAAAATTCAAGCCTAAACATTCACACTGGAATGCAGGTATATCCAGCTAACTTGCATCAAATAGAACAAAATGTGCATGCTGACCTGCACTATTAACTACATAATAACTTTACTATCCATACTAAATTTTTCAATTTGTGCATTTTATCATGTCTCGAGACTCTGGTCGCAGTGGAAGAGGGTCGAACAATATGGTTGATTGGTTGAAGTTCGATATTAACATCGTTGGATGCTGACTCAGTGGTCTAGAGACTGCAACAATACAATTACCTGCTAATTATACGGTAAAAATATAAATAATAATTCGAGAAATATTAAGCATAGATGGATAGTCGCTATCAGTGGAATCCAGGAAGCGTGTTTCTTCCTATTTGGAAGTTTTCAGCTAAGTGTACCTTCATTCCAAAGGTGGTGTTCACTCAGGGTCTGAATTCTGCTGCTAGTCACCATCCATCTCTACCTAAAATGCTTTCAACTTTATAGGAATATCGAGGTAATCTGTACATATTGCATTTATTCCAAAAGAGACTAATTAATCTCAGTCCTAAGCAACGACTGGAAGATTCAAATAACCAATACAAATGAATTTTTTTTAAATAGTACCGAAAGTTTCAACCTTTTTAATATTCTCCTTATTGAATCTTTCATCATATTTCTACAGTCCTAATTAGTGATGATCGAATTCTATCGATCATATCACAATGTGACCAGTTGTCTAATTGACTTGACATCACATGTACTATGCCAAAATGTTAAGTTGTTGGAAGTAGTCGATTGTAAACCCTGGCTGGATATGTGTTTCGGACTGGTGTTCACACTCGTCAGAAAGGCGTACATACACAACGTTGGTCACTTCACAGTGATCAATTAATTGTAAATATCTCAGTTCTACTGGAGGTCAGTCACGATCTGAACAGCTCAATAATAACATCTATGAATATGAATCTACCAGAGAGCAATGATTCTCTCAAGATTACAGGTGTAGACCTTGTTGATGAGTACTGACTTGCATAAAACTCAGGTCATGGTTTCCTAGTAACTACATTCAACTACCACCTTATCTCTCAACTGAGTATTGATATTTAGTATTATCTCATTGCATTCCTTTTTCCGATTACCTCTTATATCATTAAACATTCAATAACTTGTTTCTTTTATAATTGCTCCAATAACTATTAACTTTGTATATTTCAACAGGAAATACCAAATAGATTGATGAAAGAACAAGTTGAAAAACCATTTGATATGATGAATTCTGTCCATTGGCCTTATGAATGTGAGTTGTTTTCCTCTGATATACCTTTTAGTTATGATTATGGATCGATATTACATCATCTTAGAGACCTAATTGAAGTATTAGTCCTTAAGAGATATACACTTATATCAAATAATAATCATCTATTTTATATTCATTGGATTTATTCAGTTTTGTGGAGTAATAGATGGAAGGGAGTTGAAGAAATTATAGATACAATGAAGTACAGGATGTGTGTTTCAATCTAGTTTAACGTGTCTTAACAGTAGACACACATTTTGTCAGATGTTGGCTAGTGTAGGATTATGTTTGAAGAAAGCTGAAGGAAGCCAAACCGAAAGGTGGTATCAGTCCATAAAGACTCCTCGGTTGGGATTTATATGATAATTACCACCAGTGGTTGCAGGCGCCACATAAATTGGCTAACAATCATTAACAGTGGCACATATATACTCAATTTTTCTCTTCAATTAGATCCAGAGTTTTAAAATTATCTAATGAACTTTTATTCCATAAATTTATTCTTCTCGAATCATATCGTCTATACTTAATCTTCCGTTAATCATTCTGCTACCTTGGGATTTGTCCTGAAAGTTTCATTCGGTTTCGCTAACATGGCATGTAATGGCTTGAACTGATGCACATTTGTACCCAGGTTCTATTTCGCGTATGTCTGATTGACGGACTCATACACACACACACGACGTCATACAAGATCCTGAAGAAGCATGTTACTGGACTCATCCTTCGATTGCATCACTTGTGGAGTAGGTGAAATATCCGTCTACCAAGCAAAGGGCGAGCACACTGAGCAGCAGTTGGCTCTTAGTCACTCTATAACCGTGAAACATTGTTTGTAAAGTTACATTTAGAGTGCAGGCTTTTCAGTATGGGTGACCTCGAAACACTGATAACATATATTTAAATGACCAATTTAGGAACGTTGAGTTTATAGATAGATTACTGGGCAAAAGTGATAGATCGATTGGTAAGGTCGTAAACCTTAAACAAATCGGTTATACTGAATTCATGCATCATGTTCTTCGAGTTGTTATGTCCTAGTATTTCTCTATATATACCTTTTCTTTTTACGTTTATTCATATCCGATTCTGAATGTTCATTGTTTCACTTTTGCATTAGCACTACATTATATTCATTCCTTTATTATCAATCTTGTTACTTTCATCTCATCATGTTATTATGATGTATTCACTTGCCACATAACATTTGTGTCATGCCCTATATCGATTATGTACAACTGTGATTGACAGATAGCTCGCTGAATACAATCCATTTACACAACTGACAGGATTCATTATTATTAGAGGATTTTATCTGTTACTTAAGTACTATCATATTTATCCTTAAATAATCCTAAATAAAAACAATTATTTATTTAAACTAGAAAATATTTACATAAGGTATGATGATCAATATTGAATTCTGTCCATCATCTGTCTATATGTCTATCACCCTTACCCTAGTTACTTTTTTGAAGAATGATTATATGATCTGTTAAGTTCATTGTTATCTGATCCCAGATACTTTTTTTAGCTTAGTTTGTCTTCAAATATTTTAGCTCATTCAATCAAATCCTTAAAATCAAGATTTTGTAGTCATCGTCAGTTATGTACTAGCGCCAATCGGCTACACCTGTTACTCCTCCTGAAGGAGCATAGGCCGCCCATCAGTACTCTCTATCCAACCCTGTCCTGGGCAATCCTTTCCAGCTCTTTACAGTTGTTATTCATCCTTTTCATATCTGCTTCTATTTCCTGACGTAATGTGTTTTTTTGGCCATCTTCATTTCCGCTTCCCTTCAGAATTCCAAGTTAGGACTTGCTTCGTTATGTAATTTGATGATTTCCTCAATGTATGTTCTATCCATTTCCATCGTCTTTTCCTCATTTCCTCCTCAGCTAAAGGTTGGTTGATTCTCTCCTACAGTAGGTTGTTACTGATGGTATCTGGTCAACAGACATTGAGTATCTTGAGTAGGCAATTGTTTATAGATATGTGTATTTTTCGATAATGGTTGCGGTCGTTCTCCACGTTTTAGCTCCGTACAGTGGGACTGTCTTGATGGTCGTATTGAATATTCTCACTTTGAAGTTGGTTGACGGTTGTTTTGGGTTCCATATGTTCTACAACTGGTGAAATGTGGTCCATTCATTGTCGATTCTTACATTTACGTCTGCATCAGATCCTCCATGTTCATCGATGATGCTGCCAAGGTACGTGAAGGATTCCACCTCTTCCAGAGCTTCTCCATCAAGTGTGATTGGGTTGGTATTCTCCGTGTTGTATTTGAAGATCTTGTTTTTTCCTTTGTGTATGTTGAGACTTTTTGATTAAGAGACTGCTGCTACATTAGTTTTCTTCACCAGCATTTGTTCGTGTGTATGGGATAGGAGAGCTAGGTCATCTGCAAAGTTCAAATTGTCTAATTGGTTCTGGGCTGTCTACTGTATTTCGTGCTGTCCCTCTGATGTCGAGCTCTTCATAATCCAGTTGAACACCAGGAGAAAGTGGAAGTAAGCGACCTTGTCTGACTCCGGTCCTCACTTGAAGTGTATCTGTCAGATGTCCTCCATGCACGACTTTGCAGTTTGGTCTGTCGTATGAATTCCGGATAATGTTGACAATCTTCTCAGGTACTTCATAGTATCGAAGAAATTTTCATAATGTTCTCCTATCTACACTGATGTATATTGACGAGTTCCACTCAATCGATTGTTCAACGATAATCCGTAATTTTGCAATTTGGTCTGTGCACGACTTATCCTTACGGAGTCCAACCTGTTGATCTCGAACTTGGTCGTCTACTGTATCTTTCATCCGGTTCACCAACACCCTGTTAAAAACCCTTTTTGATACCTCTCTCTTCAATCAAAGTACTACAATATAATCCACTATGGAACATTATTATTTTATTACTTATTATTTAAACACATAAACATTGGTACAATGAGGCACCAAATAGATATGCGCCACACAAATCTCATTCGATATGTGTGAGGGCTGTGATACTGCCCGAGTGCGCAGACCGAAACAGGTGGTTTTATTAGGGGGCCACTCTCCGAGCCTTTGACCTAAAGGTCTGACCCACAAGGTAGTGGAGCATCGTAAGGCGATGCAGTCCCATGGTAGCCAGTGACCAACGATTGGTTCATACGCCATTTGTTCCCTCAGGATACTGGAGCGCATGTGCACCATTGGTTTGGGATCTGGTTAAAGCTCCGGACATTCGCTTCGCGTCCTCTCAATTTCGTAAACAACACCTGTGGTGCGAGAAGGCAGTGAGTAGGACTTCCCTGGCAGAGGCTGTATCCGCGTGGCCGTATGAGAGCAGTTCGAGAGGGAGGGTGTGCCCACCCCACTCTCGGCCATACCAGGGCATTTGGGGGAACACTTAAATTATAATCCCATATCACAAAGTCCCCATTTTTTTATTAACTGTTTACAACATTTAAATAACAATCTTATCTTTTGAATTTCTATGTAATAGATAACTATTCTAATGGTAATATAACCATACATCCTCCTACCAAAGATAATACTACTTTGGAATATTATTATTTTGCTCAAAGAGTAAAAAGTTTATTACCATTTAAAATCATAGCTTATCCTGATTTAATTGATGCACATGGATCAATTGATTGTGAACCATTTTATTCAACAGATCAATTAATTGAAAGATATTTTAATCAACAATCAAATCTATCCAATGATGATATAACTACTTCATCTTATTGTAAAAATAAATTATCCCAAGTTATATCAACTATTAATGATAATGCAGATGATGATGATGAGGAGGAGGAGGAGGAAAAGTGTGCTCATCTATCAAACGTTCATGAAGGTATGTAATTGATTCTAACTATAAGTTTAATCAAATCATCTATTTCGCTTCTATTGTCAATCATCGTAATCTGAACTTATTAGGTCTTATAGCTGCTAATTGATATCACGTAACAAAACCACTAATCAGAATCATGATTTCTTTGATCTAGTATCTTTGAGTTGATCAATTACACATCCACTTGGCATTAATAAATAACCTTGAGTCAATTGCTAAGCACTTATTAATCCATGACCTTATAGCTCCTCTCTCTCTGCTTCGCTCCTTGAATCTAAAATTTAGTATCCATCCTCCATTATACGAATATTATATTTCAAAAATAAGATGTTATTTCCAGACCTAACTGACCACATCACAGCATAAAATGAGAAATAATAATGATTCATTATCAAGCTAAAAAGTGTCTGTACCTGCATCTCCGAGTTGATGTTCACTCTGGTACTCGAACCCAGTACCGTTCGCTTCGAACGCCATCGCATTATCCATTTAGTTACTGAGTCCTGATAGCCACTTGTTTGTGCAGGTACATCCAGCTGATGTGTCCCAAAGGGGACGAAACGCGCGTTCTGGATTCCACTGCTAACTACTATCCATCTCTGTTTAAAAAAGCTTGTGACTTAATGCTATGTCGACGCAATCCGTACAGGATGTACATATGCCAACATGAGACCGATCAATTGCAGTCCGAAATAACAATAGGAAGATACAAGTATAACAACAAGTGAATTGAGATCAATTTTGTTCAGTAAGAATTTAAATACTGTAAAGGAATAACTTATTGGTATAAAAATAAAATGGCTAGGAGTTATAATTATAATGTCGAGTTAAAAGCTCAGATCAAACTTTAAATACAACCTATCCTTCTTTGTATATTTGAAATAGTTTGGATTATCCAGGAGTAAGGACCAACCCCAGGATGCATGTAACATCCAGCTGATGAGTCGCGGAGTGGACGAAACGCGCGTCCTGGATTTCACTGTTAGCCACATTCTATCTAATTATCCTTCTTTGTTTTGTTTTTCTGAATTTTGCGCAAAAACCTAAAATCATCTATATCTGAATGGTTCGTCAAAGTTTGACACTTTTACCAAATTATTTTGAGAAAGAAATACTATAGACGTTTATTTTTTTCTCTAGTTTTTTGAGCACACAGAAGTATCGAACGTTTCTTATACAACGGAAAATAGAGTAACAGGCTACTTCAATTGTATTTGACCACGTGTGATCGGACCGTGATGACAAACAAGTGGTTGTTTAATCTCTCTCCCTCTTGTCCCGTTATGAATTAGTACCCTCATATTCCCAGTAGGACTGACCGATGACCTTCTGCTTACCACATGGCACACTGACTGATGAATAGCAACCAACATCTTAACGCCTGTCGGCCCTCGAGCCCCGTCTAACCCAGCAGACAATCAAAAGATAAGGATAGAAAACAGACTACCTCTCGATTGTACTCAATTCATTTTTAACTTGAAACATACTTGAAACGTCTGATTACACAACAACACTATCGGGAAATTACAATATGCATATAACTCAGTCATAAGTGATAAAAAACCGGAGTAATAGAGAAATGATTCATTAATGATAAAGCTGGGTTAACGAGACGTGACAACAATTACTGAGTAAGATAAAAGTAAAGAAATAAGGAAGTATAAAAATACAAAAGTCTAAGGGTCTGCTAACTATATAACAAATATATATAATCCTTCGTATAATATTTTCAAAAGTTATAGTTTCTCACACTATTTGCCTCATTTTCAGTTTAATAGTTGAGATCATGAATCAGTCGAAGCTACATCACCATGTATAACCTGAAAGCACTGGACGGCTGTCTCGTCCTATTGTTGGACTACCTCAGCAGTGCGCATCCACAATCCCGTCTCACGAGACTCGAACCCAAGACCTAACGGTCTCACAGTGACCAGTGGAGTCCAACCGGGTCTGTTGTGCGATACTAACTCACTGATGACAATGGTGGATGCGTCGTTCGATTTCATAGATTTAATGAAGTAAGACATTAACACCGTTGGATACCGGCCAACTCAGTGGTCTAGAGGTTAAGCGTTGGCGCGCGAGACCGATTAGTCCCCAGTTCGAATCTCGTAAGGTGGGATCGTGGATGCGCACCGCTGAGGTAGTCCTACAATAAGACGAGACAATCATCTAGTGCTTCGAGGTTTTCCATAATGATCTAACTCCAATTGTTTCATGAATTTAACTGTTGGAATTACTATAATACTTACAAAACCTCTATCTAATTATTACTGTTATATGTTTATTTTATAGCTGATGGCTCCTTTAATCCGATCATCCAAACGAACTCATCTATAAACAATCTAAACAAAACTTCTAAATCAGTTAAATTAAATAAAACTATGAATAAATCATCATCAAATAATAATAATAATCAGTCATTCCATAGACCATTTAATATATCTGATATACCACATATAGAAATACTTGATGATCTAAGACGATTTATTGAATCCAATGATTTAATCAACCGTGTTGTATATGATATAGATGAATTAATTAAATCTCAATACCAATCATTATCATCAAAACAAATTCATCAGTCTCAGGAGGAGGAGGAACAACAGCGTCGTCGACGACGACAACAACAACAAGAACAAGGTCAACATTCGTCAACATTGAAAATGAAATCAAATCAACGTTTATTAAATAGTCATTTAGAATATAATGTTAGTGATACAATTTCAGAAGTCTCAACTAAATCATCCAAAATGAACGTTCTATCATCAACAGTTATATCAACTTCTTGTGTACAAATAATGAATAATAATCCTACTGTAGATAATAGTTCGATAGATAGTACAAAGTTGACAAGTAATAATCATCAACAGGATTATCATTGCCCTTCTTCAACTATATCATCTTCATTGGATAACTTTAACTTAACGAATCATGATGAACTATTGTAAGTTGGCATTTATTAGTATGAGTTTATTCAATTAACAATGTTCATAATCGATAAATAGTTATTTATCTTTGAAGTTATATAAAATCTAGAAATAATTGACGGTCTTACAATTCACAGTGGGTTTTATACCCGATTCATGAATGTCACCGGGATACTATTTCAACCATGCATGTACATTGTTTAAAAAAAAAGCTTCAAGCTATAATGTGCTATATTTGAAGCGATGATGAATTCACCTAGTCTGAGAACGAAACAAAGATTCTGTGACCAAAGATCAATGAGCTAGCCATTCTAACACATCCCAACCCCGCTAACTAGAGGGAGAATTCCAATTTCGAAACGCGGAAATATATTCCGCAAGCAGACAGAAGCTCGAACAACAACAACAGACACAAATCAAACATATGTATACAGCATAAAATTGTCCTTGAGAAGCGTTACAGTATAGCATACTAAAAGATACAACGAACCATTGGCATTTAAGATTCTTCCAAGTGGGAAGTACGATGTGAAGGTAAAAATGAGCACTTTTGGCGCGAAAACAAGAAATTCAAATTTTTAAAATAAAATTCCAAAAATAAGGTATTTACCAAGTGAGTTCTGAGGATCTAACATCCCCAATATAATGCTGAACAACTGTTTATCATTAGTTGATCACTAGATATTAACCAGTCTGATGTTTCTTTAATCATTTAATGTTGATCAAATTCTATTGATCAAGTTTTAATTCAACTACTTGTTCCTCTAAGCTCTATGGTACTTCCTGTTGATGTATGCCAACTAACACGAAACCTGGGTGTAGTAAATGTTTACTGTCGACTGTCTTTAACCACTTAACAACTGAACATCTAGTTTCTCTCACCCAAATTTACTACAGTTCTCTGTGACGATGAGATGAAATAGATAATCCGATTCCATTATAGACTATTTCATTTCAATGAACATCATCCAATGCTATGCGCCTACCAACGACTACAATGAAGACGCTAAAGATCAATTCTACAATAGACTGCAGTCAATCGTCGAAAAGTGCCCAACAAAGGACCTGACTATTCTGATGGGAGATTTCAACGCCAAGGTTGGAACGGACAACACTGGATATGAAGACATCATGGGACGACACGGACTGGGAGAAAGAAACGAAAATGGTGAGAGATTTGCAAACCTATGTGCCTTCAATAAACTGGTCATAGGCGGCACCATATTCCCACATAAACGCATACACAAAACCACATGGACTTCACCGGATCACTCTACACAAAACCAAATCGACCATATTTGCATCAACAAAACGTTCAGGAGGACTGTAGAGGACGTGAGAACCAAGAGAGGAGCTGATATAGCATCAGATAATCACTTGTTGGTCGCCAAGATGAAATTGAAACTCAAGAAACACTGGACAATGCGGCGGACAATATCACAAAAGTTTAATACGGCCTTTCTTCAGGATACTAACTAACTCAACAAATTCCAGATAGTCCTCAGCAATAAGTTCCAGGCCTTTCATGACCTACTCAATGGAGAAGGAACTACTGTGGAGAGCAACTGGAAGGGGATCAAAGAGGCAATCACTTCAACATGTCATGAGGTCCTGGGTCACAAGAAGCACCATCACAAGGAATGGATCACTGTTGGTACACTGGATAAGATTCTAGAAACGAGGAACAAGAAGGCAGCGATCAATACCAGCCGAACAAGAGCAGAAAAAGCCAAGGCACAAGCTGAATACACGGAAATAAACAAACAAGTGAAGAGGAGCATCAGAACCGACAAACGTAAATATGTGGAAGATTTAGCAACGACGGCGGAAAAGGCTGCAAGAGAAGGAAACATGAGACAATTGTATGACACGACAAAGAAACTCTCTGGAAATCGCCGCAAACCAGAACGACCAGTGAAAAGCAAAGAAGGCAAGGTAATCACCAACATTGAAGAGCAACAAAACAGGTGGGTAGAACACTTCAAAGAACTCTTGAATCGACCAGCTCCACTGAACCCACCCAACATCGAAGCAGCACCCACGGACCTCCCAATCAATGTTGGCCCACCAACAATTGAAGAAATCAGCATGGCCATCAGACAAATCAAGAGTGGCAAAGCAGCAGGACCGGACAACATCCCAGCAGAGGCACTAAAAGCAGACGTAGCGGCAACTGCAAGGATACTCCACATTCTCTTCAATAAGATTTGGAATGAGGAACAAGTACCAAAAGACTGGAAAGAAGGACTTCTGATCAAAATACCGAAGAAAGGCGATCTCAGCGACTGTGGTAACTGCAGGGGCAACACTCTTCTCTCAATACCGGGAAAGGTCTTCAACAGGGTATTGTTAAACAGGATGAAGGACTGCGTAGACGCCCAACTTCGTGACCAACAGACAGGATTCCGTAAGGATAGATAGTGTACAGACCAAATCGCAACTCTACGGATCATTGTGGAACAATCAATTGAATGGAATTCATCACTCTACATCAACTTCATTGACTACGAAAAGGCATTTGACAGCGTGGACAGAACAACACTATGGAAACTTCTTCGACACTACGGCATGCCTCAGAAGATAGTTAATATCATACAGAACTCATATGATGGATTACACTGCAAAATTGTGCATGGAGGACAGTTGACAAAGTCGTTCGAAGTGAAGACCGGTGTTAGGCAAGGTTGCTTACTCTCACCCTTTCTCTTTCTCCTGGTGATCGACTGGATCATGAAGACGTCAACGTCTGAAGGAAAGCGCGGGATACAATGGACATCTAAGATGCAGTTAGACGATTTAGACTTCGCAGATGATCTGGCCCTTCTATCCCACACGCAACAACAGATGCAGGAGAAGACAAACAGCGTGGCAGCAGCCTCAGCAGCAGTTGGTCTCAATATACACAAAGGGAAAAGCAGGATTCTCCGATACAACACAGAATGCACCAATCCAATCACAATTGACGTAGAAGATTTGGAAGATGTAAAAACCTTTACATATTTGGGCAGCATCATTGATGAACAGGGTGGATCTGATGCAGATGTGAAGGCGCGAATCAGCAAAGCAAGAGCAGCATATTTACAACTGAAGAACATCTGGAACTCAAAGCAACTGTCAACCAACACCAAGGTCAGGATTTTCAATACAAATGTCAAGGCAGTTCTACTGTATGGGGCAGAAACCTGGAGAACTACAAAAGCCATCATCCAGAAAATACAGGTGTTTATTAACAGTTGTCTACGCAAAATACTTCAAATCCATTGGCCGGACACTATTAGCAACAACGTACTGTGGGAGAGAACAAACCAGATCCCAGTGGAGGAAGAAATCAGGAAGAAGCGCTGGAAGTGGATAGGACACACATTGAGGAAAGCACCGAACTGCGTCACAAGACAAGCCCTCACATGGAATCCTGAAGGTCAAAGGAAAAGAGGAAGACCAAAGAACACATTACGCCGAGAACTGGAGATAGACATGAGAATAATGAACAAGAATTGGATGGAACTAGAAAAGAAGGCCCAGGACAGAGTGGGTTGGAGAATGTTGGTCAGCGGCCTATGCTCCATTGGGAGTAACAGGCGTAAGTAAGTAATAAGTTCCCATATGCTTGAAATATAGTATATAATAGAGGCTGGTCGCTGTCTTCTCTTTAGACACAAAGCAGAAGATGGAGAAGGGCTTACGGGTGGCTAACCAAAAAGAGCTCAACTTGCTCTGGTTCTACGTCAACTGTAAACGTCCGAACTGTAATTAGTCAGGTCGAAAACGCTAGGCTATAACCAAAATACTATACATGGGATAAAGAAAACTAGAATCGGAATTGCAATTGGGGAATTTTGCACGTGATATCGATTAGCAATGTCAAGGTATAACTATGCTATTAGTCTATGAAGTCAGTGACTATTGATTTGAACCATGTTGATGGGTGAAGACCCCACCTGGTTTGGATTTTCACGTTTTGTTTTCACAATCACAATAAGTGAAATGTTATGTACAGAAAAATAAAATATTTTATTCTCTGAAGAAGGCAGCATTCAACGATTTCTAAGTTCAACCAATTCACAAGTCCCATACTAGGACGAGACGGCCGTCCAGTGCTTCTTGGTTCCTTCCTGGTTTTCATAACCCCCTACTGACGGTCAAAATCTATTTTAAATTATCATGTTTATTCTTGGTGATGACACTTTCAATGATTTAGGTATTCGGTGACATGACTCAAAATCATTCACAATTTCATCCATTTATTATTCTCGAATCATACAGACTGTGTGTATTATTTTCTTCTACTATTGCTACTCTGATAATCTTGCTGTTGTGATGTTGTATGGTCATTTAAACTGATGCATAGATCGGTTAGGTTCCCTTTTGTGTACAACTGACTGTCTAATCATTTTAGTACGTTTATTCATTCATAGATCTTCGTCAAGTTTGACACCTATACCGCAAAATGTCAATTAATCATCTCAGACTTCATTGTTCGTTAGTTTCTCTACTAATCATTCTCTGTTCCTGTTCTCTTTTCTTCAATCGTCATAATGTTGTACCGCCAGGTATTTCACTTTCGACTGATGATACATACTACTAATATCTGTCGATATCAGTAGTATATACTACAATATCTTTGTGTTTGTTGAAAATTTATTTTTAGGCTATGGATAAACTTATGGATCTGAAAACGTATAGCCTATTGATATCATATGTTTGTTTCTTTTTACTTAGGATTGGTCAATTTGACGCTGAAAAAGGTCACTTAGAGTTTGAATCTCGTTTCGAATGTGGTAATTTGAGAAAAGCAATTCAAGTAAGTCAATCTAATTGAATGACATTTTTTCATCTGTATTCCAGTATCCATTCATACAAACCTTTCCACTCTGTCTATCCAAAGCATATTCCCAAGGTTGTGTCATTATTTTTATCATTGTTACCACATTATTTTGATCGGTTTTATCATTTACATTTGGTCTTGTTAATCCAGGTCATGGCAACTTGCACATATGTACCAGGTTGTATGTTATTGATATCTATTTATCCGTCTATATTTTAAAAATCTACGACAAGATTCTACGTGAAAGTGAGACGCAATCATTTTTGTGATTTTCTAAAAATTCAACAGAACGACAAGACACGCTAAACTATTCCGATGCATCCTAGCCCTGCTAACTATAGCGATAAGACCAGGTTTATATATGGGGAAAGGTATATCCTACAAGAGGCCAGAAGCATGAACAACCAAGCACAAAAGTCAAGCATATATATACAGTATAAAAAGGTCCTTGGGAGACGTCACAAAATAACGTATTAAAAGAGGCAACGAACCAATGACATTTGTGGTCGTTCCAAGTTCAAACTACAATCTTAAAGTATATATATATTAACTTTGACGAATTTCTTATTTATTCACTGTTCCATTTTTCAGAATACTTTCATCATCAAAAGGTTTTTGTGGAGATTGTAGTAATTTCAATAGTTTAAATCATGAATCAATTGAAGCTAGACTACCATGGAAAACCTGGAAGAACTGAATGGCCGTTTCATCCTATTGTGGTACTTCTCAGCAGTGCGCATCCACGACCCCGCTTCGCGAGACTCGAACCGAGGGCTAATCGGTCTCGCGCCTAGACCACTGGGTTGGCCGGCATCCAACGGTGTGAATGTCTAACTTCAACTGTTCAGTGCTTACAGTTTTTTCATGGTGGTCTAGCTTCAACTGACACATGATCTCAACTATTGAAACTTTCATCATCAATAAACCTATCTAGTCTTGGATGATAGTTCAATAAATCTTTGTTCAAACTGACCATAAATTTATAAGAAATAGAATTAAAATAATGAATTCCAGCTTTTAGAATAAATCACTTTAAATGAGATCCACGCGTTCGCGCGTGGGACCGATAGGTCCTGAATTCGAATCTCGCAGGGGGACGGGATTGTGGATGCACACTGTTGAGGAGTCCCACAATAGGACGAAACGGTCATCCATTGTTTTCAGGTTTTCCATGTTGGTCTAGCTTCAATTAACTCATCTTTACTACTAGAATTTGTATTTATCAAGTAGAATCGAATTTAAGAGGAACTCTTGTATACCACATTTCAAAAACTCGGGTTAATATTAATTTATAATCACATATCACTAATTATCAAAACGTGTCACGATTTATCAAGAATAACTTGATGAAGAATAGATTACAAGGAATTGTGAAGAAATTGATGAATTCACAATAAGTAAAATACTATTTTCTGCATCAAAGATTAATGTTAAACAAATATTGAGTACTTAAAAGTACTTAAAAGTTGTTTCGTCGTATTGTGGGATTTCCCGACGATAAGCATTCAAGACTCTTATCTAAGATCGAACTCATAACTTCCGAGTTTTATAATGATTTTTTTACCTTTAAACTATTGAGCCTTCATTCAATAGGTTTCATTTCTAATCTTATTCAATTCGAATTATTACATGATCATCTTCCGTTGGCCTTTAACGGACAACTATCTAACAATGAAGTTGGTTGAACTCTATCACTTTCTTGATTTTTGATAATTGTCCAATTAAAAACCTGTCAAAAAAGTAAACATATTTAACTAAATAAAAAAGATACTGTGGTGTGTGCTACTGATATTGACATAAGTAGTATATAACGCGAGTCATGAATGTAATGTCTGGCAGTAGAAGATTAGGAAGATCAAGAAAGGAAGAACAGGAATAGAAAGCAATTAGTATAGAAATGAAAGAACAATGAAGTTCGAGACAATTATTGAACATTTTGCAAATTAAGTATTATAGTGTATGGTTTTTCTATTTTACCAAGTAACTCTGTAATGTTGTGCAAAATATAATTCAGTTGTGCTCATCTGTGTTTTCCTTCACTACAATACTACTCTATATAATATGCACACAAACGTAAAAGTGGATGGTTGTTTTTGTTTCCCTCCCTTCTCCGTCCCCCCACTTTTCTCTTTATAATCAGTTCCTAATCAACCGCCTTCATTATGTTGTTACCTTCTATGTATATATATTTTTTCTCAATATAAAGGTTCGTCAATATGAATATGATTTAATATTAAATCCTGATATTAATACAACTACTTATTTACAATGGTTTTACTTTCGTGTATCTAATATGGAATCGAATATTTCATATCGTTTCAATATTATTAATTGTGAAAAAGTCGATAGTCAATTTAATGCTGGTAAGTTATACATTGTGTACCTAGAAACTAAATATGTGTTTTGTTTGTTTATTTGTATTAAACGTTGACAATTTTCTATGCCAGTGACCAGTGAGTTACTTGATTGATTGAAAAACCGCTCAAGGTCGTCGTCAGGAGAGGCAAATTTTCCCGTTTGATGAAATATATAATGTTAATATCAGATAGGTTTTGTGGATATTACAGTAATTTCAATGGTTCAGATCATGAGTCAGTTGAAGCTAGAGTTATATCCTGGAGTTCTAGTGAGAAGTAGTGAACAGTGGAGTTCAACCAGGTCTGTTGTGAAATAGTAACTCATTGAAGACAATGGTGGATATGTCGTTCAATTTTGTGGATTAGTTAAAGTTAGATATTCACGCCGTTGGATGTTGACCAGCTCTTGTGGAACAACAACCTACATTGTTAACTGTTCTAGGAATTTGTATTTTTCGTAGTCGCGATGCATCTTTCTGGGCGACTAAGTAAAAGCATAGTTAAACCTGTAAATACCTTAATCGTCATTCATCTAGTACAAACGAGTCATACAACCAACATAGAATAATCATTTACAGTGATATATAGTATTAATAGCTATCTGATTAAATCCATCAAAATAAGAATCCTTCAAATGACTGAAGCAATAGCTAATCGGATCAAAAAGCCAGAGCTTTTCGTTCAGAAGAAATACGTTCAACCGTTTCTTTTAGTTTGATTAATGTACACACAGTGTTCTTCTTTGTATTACCACAGCTTAAATTTATCTAATATATATAGAAATCTGGCGAACGTTTTGAGGAATTTAGTTAGTACCTACCCGTATTTACTAGTTCTTACCTAATTCATGTTACTGTAGAGGATTTGTGGAGATTATAGTATTTCCATTGTCGAAATCACAAACTGTTCTATGCTACATCATCATTAAAAACCTAGAAGGACTACACAGATGTTTTGTTCAAGTATGAGACTCTTCAACAATGCGCATCCATGTAATCCTTGACCAAACATTGATTTTCATCTGTAATTAAGCTACCATCTTTCACCCTATCTTACCCATATATATTCTGTAAATTAATATTACATAATTTCAATGGTTAAGATCATGAGTCAGTTGAAGCTAGACCATCATGGAAAACCTGGAAGCACTGTACGGCCGTCTCGTCCTACAATGAGACTCCTCAGCAGTGCGCATCCACGACCTCGCTCTCTGCGAGATTCGAACCCAAGACCTATTGGTTTCGCGCGCGAGCACTTAACCACTAGACCACTGAGCTGGCCGGCATCCACCATTGTCTTCAATGAGTTACTATTTCACAACAGACCTGGTTGAACTCCACTGGTCACTACTTCTCACTAGAACTCCAGGATATACCTCTAGCTTCAACTGACTCATGATCTGAACCATTGAAATTACTGTAATATCCACAAAACCTATCTGATATTAACATTATATATTTCATCAAACGGGAAAATTTACCTCTCCTGACGATGACGTTGAGCGGTTTTTCAACCAATCGAGTAACACTACTCAGTTATAAAACAATGAACAATACAAGATAGACAATTTACAGTGAAACAATAATTTCAATATGAAAACTAATCCCATATATGATAATCTATTAATTATGATAATGGAACAAGGTTTATTTTACATAGAAAGAATTAGGTGTATGTGTGTGTGTGGTAAGATAGATGGGGTTATAATTTAGTGATGACTCGCCATTCTTTTGACTGAAAACTTGACAAACTTGAGATATTTCTTGTGATCTAATTTAAGGGCTATGCCATATTTACTGTTTTGCTGGATGGTAGACAATTTTTTCTCATCAATTTCAGGGATTTTACGAGGCAAATACTGTTATATCCTAATAAGGAATAAATTACGAGTAACTTCCGAGACCTATTGATGGACTTACTTACTTACGTACATCTGTTAGTCCTCCGGAAGGGGCATAGGCCGTTCACTAGCATTTTCCACCCAACCCTGTCCCGGGCAATCCTTCCCAGTTCCTAATGATCCTTTTCATATCTGATTCTATTTCCCGACGTAATGTGTTCTTTGGCATTCCTCTTTTCTGCTTCCATTCAAGATTCCAAGTTAGGGCTTGGCTTGTGATGCAGTTTGATGATTTGCGTAATGTATGTCCTATCCATTTCCAACGTCTTTTCCTAATTTCTTCTTCAGCTAGAAGCTGGTTTGTTCTCTCCCATAGAAGGCTGTTGCTGATGGTATCCGGCCGATGGATGTTGAGTATCCTGCATAAACAGCTATTTATAAATAGTTAATGAACTAATATTATGTAAATATTCCTATTGTAAGCCTATTCAGTAACTAGATTAGATATATTCATATTCCCCTTATTATATGATTCATTTTGATCCATAGATTATTATTGTACGATTTACTGTAACTAAATTATGTTCAGTTTACTGATTACAGTTTCCCACGTTCACAGCCATTTTCTGGCTTGATCTTGTACAAACGTTATTTCCTATTTTATAATGTAATTTGTTCTGTTTGGTTGATATACAAACTAAGTATGTTTGAAATACATGAATTGCATAGTAGAAGCTGTTATTGGCGTTCTGGACTCAACTGGAAGAGCTAAGGGAACAAAAGACCAATAAGGACGGTAGGCTGCTCATACCGGTTGAACGTCATTGTTTTAGCACAGTGCTCAGATTGATCAAGTCACATTTCGATCGGCGAATAAATTACGTGATAATTAACCGGACTTAAAGTCACAACAAATACAACCAATTTTTATACTTACTTAATCATAACGTAGAAGCTTTGTAGCACTGCAGTTTCAATTTCGTGCAAAAGTAAACAAGGTGCTCTCTTACTTTTGATTGGTCGACTGAAAGCCGGCAGTACAGTATACTTTCACCTTTTTAACATATAAATTTATGCAAAATACCTTTACATATCTATCAAACCAACATTTACCATCTTAAGCAAAGATGGATAGTAGTTAGCAGTAAAATCCGGGATGCACGTTTCGTCATATTTAAGACTTGTCAACTGAATGTACATACATCTTAGAGTTGATATTCACTCTGGGATTCGAATCCAGTACCGTCTGATTCAGTTATTATCGCATTATTCACTTAGTTATATCACAATCCTGATTATAAACGATGTGTATGCCTCCCACCCCCCTTATTCATTTAGCGCCATAGAAAACTTCCATAGTGCTATAACTTGTAAAGGTGTACATACATTTTCTGATCGAGCTAAATAAATAACTATTACATCGGAATACATGCATACAAAATGTATATATCCGTCAGCGACCATCTTGTAGTCGTCGTGTATCAATGTAAAATATACAAAATTTAATTTGTTCATAATAGCTAGACATGATCAAACTAATAAGGGTATAATTTGATAATGATGAGTTCAAAACAACCGCGATAAATTTTCTACCAGTTTTTAACCAGTTAGAATGCGGATTTTGTAAATGGGTAGTTAATGATGGGAAAAAGCATCAATAATATTACAAAGTGTACACAGCGTTCTTCATGTTTAATAAATCCAAGAAAAGTTAATGTGCTTATGAATCGAAAAAGAACGGTGCATAAACTCATCCGGATGGTTATAGATTATCCGTCTTCTTGAACCCTTGAAAAGACTCAAACAGATTTTTAAGAATCCTTATATTGTTCTAAATTAGAGATCAGTTATTTCATGTTATTACTTACTTACTTACGCCTGTTACTCCCAATAGAGCATAGGCCCACTGACTAGAATTCTCCTACCCGCTCTATCATGAGCCTTCCTTTCTAGTTCTATCCAATTGTTCTTTATTCTTCTCATGACTGTCACCATTTCTCAACATAATGTGTTCTTTGTCGCGTTGCGTTCTCAATATTGTTCAATTCATATCTGTAGCATAAAATCTTATTTTACAGAATTACACTTATATATCACTACTATTAAGTAGCTTATATTGCTTATATTGAATTTGTAACCTTTTAAATCTATAAATGTCTAAATTGTGCTACTGTAATATAGCATAGCATTTATGACTTGTTAATAGTATATTCCTCACTTAGAGAAATATTCCATGAAATCACTATTTTCAATATCCGAATAAACTTTCGACGGCACAGTGAACCTGAAATGATCATCAACATCATGTGGAATTCATACGACAGGCTACACTGGAAAGTCGTGCATGGAGGAAAGCTGACAGATGCATTGCAAGTGAAAACCGGTGTCAGACAAAGCTGATCACTCTCATCCCTTCTCTTCATTCTGGTGGTTGACCAGATTATGAAGACCTCTATATTTGAGGGAAGGCACGGAATACAATGGACGTCTCAGAATCGTCTTGACAAGTCGGACCTCCCAGATGACCTTGCTCTCCTATCCCATACACACGAACGAATGCAGGTGAAGACAACTAGTGTAGCAGTAGCTTCTGCACCAGTAGACTTCCATATACATAAAGGAATAATCAAGGTACTTAGATTCAACACAGAGAACATTAACCCTATCATACTTGATGGAGAATCTCTGGAAGTTGTGGAGCTTTTCACGTACATGGGAAGCATCGACGATGAACGTGTAGGATCGAATGTTGACGTAAAGGCGAAGATTGGTAAAGCAAAGACTGAATTCCTACAGTTGAAAAACATATGCAACTCAAAACAACAGTCTGTCAAACAATATCAAAGTCAGAATCATCAATGCAAACGTCGAGACAGTTCTGTTGTACAAATCTGAAACTTGGAGAACTATTACAACCATCGTCAACGAAGTACAAGTACTTCTAAACTATTGTCTACACAAGATACTCAATGTCCGCTGGCCGGATAGCATCAGCAACAACCTACTATGGGAGGGAACAAACCAGCTTTCATCTGAAATGGAAATTACCAAGCTACATCACGAGACAAGCTCTGACTTGGAATCCTGAAATTAAATGGAGAAGAGAAAAATCAAAGAACATATTGCATAGAGAGGATGACATCGAAAGAATGAATAGCAATTGGAAACAACTGAAAAGGAGAGTTTAAGATAGAGTTAGTTAGAGAATACTGGTGGATGATGGCCTGTGCTCTTCCACGAGGGTTAACACGCGTAAGTAAGTAATATCCGATTGAAGTCTTTCAAAAGCATTATGTTTTGAAGATTAAAGTCTTTTTTTAACTACAATTAATTTCTAGGTATGCAGCCTCTTCTTTTCTCAGTTCATGAATCACTTCAATCTCATCCATGCTGGCGACGTGTTGGTTCAAATATTATTTATTATAGAAACTATTTTACTCGACCGTCAACTCGTAAATGTAAGTATATATGTATATATATAAGTCATTGTGGAAGTGTTTGTTGATAAGGCTATTGATGATAGAGCCTATAATGTTGAAGTAAGCATCAAATTCACTGCAAATTCAGTGAATATTTAGTCTCATCACTCATTTGATTGATTGATTGATTGATTGATTGATTGATTGATTGATTGTGTTAACTAGCAATTCCACTCAATCGATCATGTACAAACTAGAAAATCATGAAAAGTATTAACATCAATGTCATTCAAAACATCCCAGATAATCGTGTTACAGATAGAGATAGACCTTCACGAGTAACAACAGGAATTTCTTAATATTCCTGAATGTATGGTTCCAATTAATTGATTAGTTTTACTTCATATTCTTTATTTAACAGCTTATTCAGTAGTATAAATAAACGATTACATACAAAGAGGCATGATTCATAATCCTCAGCCAGATACTGAAATGGTTAAATTCTACTAACATCTTACTATTTTGGCAAGATCTTAGTTGTTTTCACATTTGTTGTGTCTAACCGCTTATTATTTCTGTTCTGTAAGAACTCAAGATATTGAAACTATTTTATGCTTGAGTACAATTTTTCTGTATTAGAGTTAAAAACCAATACCAAATTGCTTGCTCTATGTCCACTTTTCTTCTATGAAAGGGATTCTGAATCTACTATTTTCAACAATGTTTTTTGATCAATCTTAACTTTTCCATCCTGACTAGCCTGGTTAAGTCTTCTGGTGGTAGTGGTCAGTTCATAAGATGTAGTATTTTGTTATGATTGGTAACCTTACAATGAACTACCGTATGTGCATCCAATTTTTGGTAGGTTCTCTATAAGCTATATATTTGATAAGGTCGATTGAGTGATATCAAGATACACATGAGTATTTTACTTATTGATTTGAATAGAAGCATATTTCTAGCGATTATGTTATTCAGTGCTGTTAGAAGCTATGATCATCATAAACATAAAATGATAAACAATGCACATCGTTGAATGTAGCCAATTATGCTTCCAATCAAGGTCTCCGCCTACCTGTCCTTGTCTATGTCGGAAGGAAGAATTGATACACACTAATAAGATTTGTACATATTGTAAAACACGACAATTGATAGGAAGAATGTATATTTATTGCGAGGAGTTACAATGTATATGCATAATACACATACATAGCCTTCGCTCGTTCACTTAGATCTTCCAATGTGTCCCACAATCTGAACTGTCTTCTCGACTAGCCTCCAAGTGATCGACCAACAGCGTGCTTTCAATGCGCTGAAATTTTTCAGTATTATTTTGTTTGCTTCCTAGTCGTTTCTCCATCTTCGCTCTCCCTAATCTATGATTGGACAAGTTTATAGGAGAAATGTGTTTATCTATGGCTAAATCTGACGACCTCAGAGGGTCATAGTTAAAACGTTGAATAGGTTCCTCATAACCCAATGTATCTGTAATTTAGTGATTAACTTACATGATACACTTTCATCATCATTGTTGTTGTTCTTGTGTTTTTTTTCAAGGTAATGTGGATGGTGGAACGTATTATACAGCTACATTCACGATATGCTTTCCATATACTGGCGATGTCTGCTATCTTGCTTATCATTATCCATATACCTATACACGTTTATTAACTGATTTAAACAAATGGCAAAATAAAATATTAAACCAACCAAACAATATTTACTTTCGTATTCAACAGTTAACTTCAACTATCCTTTCCAATCCAGTCCCATTAATTACAATAACACAAACTTCGGACTCTTCAGGTGAGCATTTATTTAGAAATTAATTTTCCTATACAAACTAGACAACCAGTGAAAAGCATAAAACATCGGACACTTGCATCATGCTATAAAGGTATTCACGATCTATCCAGATCCATGATCTGAGACCTTTATGTTTCGTTGTGAACACTTAAACTATTGGACTAATGAGATGAAATGTGGTATTACGAAAGCTCATTCCATTACCATTTAAAGGCAATTGCCTGACGCCCGATGTTGTTGAACTCCACTGGCGATGGTTTCTAACTAAAGCTATGTAGAATACCTTTTGAAATAGATCGCTAGTGAACAAATAATTATTTAAACATCAAGGAAGATAGTTGTACAATTTTGTGAATACGTTAAAGTTAAGAACTCATACCAATAAATGTTGAACCAGTAGTTTATAGGTTAACCATTTGTCACTAGAACTGGAGGTCATACGTTCAAAACTCACTTCAGTTGTGGGTGCCCACTACCACTTGGGAAATAAAACAACTGTCCAGTTCCTCTTTATTTTAAATGTATGTTTAACCGAAATCAATTCATGATCCAAATAATAGTTTTATTCATTCTAATATTTTTACCTTGAATGACATGATTAGAAATCGTTCGCAGTGGCACAGTTGCATTCACTCTTTGTGTTCTCCCAATTTCTAATCTTCTGAATTCTTCATATCCTTTTTTTCTCTTTCCACTGGATTATACTCCTTGAGTAACATCTTCAAATTCTAATCTTCCCAATTACTGCTCATACTTTTACTACTTCTACCACTATGGGATTTGAATCAACAATTGTATCTCTGTGCTAATGTGGTATGGCAACTTCAACTGATGTACTGACGTTTTTATTATTTATTTATTTGAACACATAGATAATGGTACAAGGGAGCACTAGATACATATGCGCCACACTAGTCTCATTTGATTTGTGTGAGAGTTGTGATACTAACCGGGTTCCCAAACCGGAGTAAGTGATTTTTTTAGGAAGGACCACACCCGGAACCTTCGACCTAAAGGTCTGGTCCACAAGGAATTAAAGCAATGTAAAGAGATGCAGTCCCATGATAGCCGGTGACTAACGATTGGTTCATACGCCATTTGTCTCAATAGGATCATGGAGCTCATGTGCACCATTGATTTGGAATGACGGTTTTCCAACTTCCCTAGGTGGACCTCTATATCCATCAACCAGGTTAAAGCCCTCACCGAACATTCGCTTTTCGTCCTCTCAATTTTGTAAACAATATCCGTGGTGCGAAAAAGCCGTGAGTATGACTACCCTGACATCCGCTGTATACGCGTGGCCATGTGAGAGCATTTGAAGAGGGAGAGATGACTCTCCCTACTCTCAGCCGTACCAGGGCATTTTAGGGAATGTACGTACGTACGAAGTTCTACGTTGTTGACTGACTGACTAAATTTTGTTAAAATGTATGAGACTAACTGTTGATTCGGCTTTCCGAGAACTGCAACGGAGCCTCCAGAGGCCCTAAAGGAACCGAAGAGTCCTAGTCAATCAGAATATGATGGAGCTTTCTAGAATATCAACGTGGCGTGCTGCTATCGGTTAATAGCATAATATATCTTTCAGCGGATTGGTCAAAATATGATGATGATTTAACAAATGTGAACATCTATGAATACCCGTGTTTTTTCCTGGCCTTTTCTCTCGAATTCAAGTCACTGCATAGTTTCTAGCCTGCGGATTACCAGAATAGCTTAGGAACTGAATAAAGCGTTCAAATTAACAAGACTTATCATTAACACATTTGTATTTCAGTATCTTCTTGAATTCCTTTGCATTAATCCTTATTACATCATTTCTTAACAATTTGTATTCTAAATTAGATGAATCTACAAATATCAGTAATCAACGTCCTTACATCATTCTTACATGTCGTGTACATCCAGGTGAATCAAATTCTAGTTGGATAATAAAAGGTTTAATAGAACAATTATTATCTAATGATAATATGAAAATCAATGAATTACGTAAAATGTTCATTTTTAAAATAATCCCCATGTTAAATCCTGATGGTGTTATTGTTGGAAAGTGAGTATTATTCAGTTAGTTGTCAAGGGAATTTTATGATGAGATTATAATTTATGAATGAACCAATCAGATTGAGGACAACAGGTCTTAGATTTTGGCGCGGAATCCATTCATCCATCTGGCTGAATAGAGTCTTGGCATTAATAGCTGATATCAGTTTGTGATGAAAACGCTAAATCTTATTCCTAACCCTAACCATCAACTATGAATCATAATATTTATTCTTCAAATTGTTTTATAACCCTCGTTTAGCCCTGGTAACTAGGTAGACACTCTCAAGGTTACTTTGGCGTCACTTAAAGGTCGTCCATAAATTATAGTCTCATCGAAATTGTTTAATTTTATCCAGAAATGTTATTATTTTATTCGACATATCTGGATCTGTAGACTATGGTAAGCGTTTGAAATGTATCGACTCGAAATTGAAAGATACAATGTCTAAATGACTTGATATAGAATGGCTTATTGGACACTTCACTGAGTTCTTCAATTGGACGATAGGAAGTAGACAATCGATCTAACCTCTACAAATCTAACTCAGAAATTCACTTGATGAAATACAAGAATATAATGCACCGTAAATAAGAATTCATAACATGTAACAAACTGCTGCACTTAGGAAATAAAATTGGAATAGTTTGAGAATAGAAAAACATATGAGAACAGATCAATATGAATACTGATGCCTCCTGTTATTTCGACGAAAAGATTTTTTGAGCTTTATTGAATCCCATATGATCGTGTTGTAATGACTGGAAATTAGTTGTGTGATTTTTTCCTCTGTTCTGATCATCGATTAGTGTACTTATATTGCCAGTAGGACCGGTGACTTATTTACTAGTTGGCAAATCGACCAAGAAACAACAAGCAAGATCCTAACGCTTATTGGTCCTCAACCTCCTTCGAACTCCAGTGTCCAATTACAGGGCGAAGATGGGAAGTAGATTAGTTCATTATTGTATTCAATCCAATCATAACTCAAACTTATATAATAATATACTTGAAGTATCTGACTAAACAACGAAACTAATTGGGAAGTGATACAAAACCGGACTAATTAATTGACGATAATAAAATACAAAAACGATTTCTGAGTTAAACAAAAACTAGAAAATAAGAAAATATGATGTATGTCAGTTTGAGAGTCTACTAATCAATATAACAAAAATATGGTAGTCTAGCTTAAATCGACTCATGAATTCAACTGTTACTACAGTCTCCACAAATCCCCACTCTGATAATAATCATGTACTCACTAGTGACTAGCTTCAAGATGTATTTCCTGGGGCTCTCGTCGTGAAGCTGTGACAAGTGGATTACAATCCGTATCGTGTATGAGACAGTTGCGCGAGATGATGGATCAATTGAAGTTAAAGATTAACACTGTTGGATGCTGGCTCAATGGTCTAGGTAATAAGTGTTCGCGGGCTAGACTGAAGGTTATGGGTTCGAATCTCACATGCAGGATCATAGATGAGCATTGCGGAGAAGTGCCACAACAGAACGAACCGGTCGTCCAATGCTTTCAGGTCTCCAATGGTGGTCTAACATCAATCAGTTTATGATTTCAATCAAATACTTTACAATTACACAGTTTTTTATTATCTTTGTTTGACTGATTTCATTTCTTCTGTCATACATATATCTCTATATATATGTTTCTTCTATGAAGTCATCGATGTTCAATATCTGGTAAAGATTTAAACCGTCATTGGATTAATCCATCATCTTCAATTCATCCAACTATTTATCATACTAAAATGTTAATGGAATTTCTTACATTTTGTGAACGTTCACCTTATGTAAGTCGGTTTGATATATATATTGATATGGGTTATTATGTAATTCATTGTCCGATTCGGTTGTATATATACAGCTCTGATAATTAATCAGACCAATTAAACAGAAGAAGAAGAAATCAGTTTCATCATAGCCCCCAAATGCCCTGGTACGATTGAGAGTGAGGAGAGTCTGCTCTCGCCTCTCGAAATGCTCTCACATGACCACGTGCATACAATCATTGTCAGGGAAGTCCTACTCACTGTCTTCTCGCGGCATTAATGTCACTTACGAAATTGAGACGATGAAAATCGAATGTCCGGCAGAGGCTTTAACCGGGTTGGTGGACACTGAGAGTCCATTAGTCAACATGGGCTCCAGTATCCTCAAGGAACAAATGGTGTACGAACCAATCGTTTGTGAACGGCTACCATGAGACTGCACCTCCTTGTAGTGTCGGTTATTATGTTAAGCCCATATACCTTATTCTAGCATTCGGACAGCCCATTCTATTCATTCTACTGGAGTCACATTCTGATCTTGTTGTTGATTATTCGCTTATCAATCTTGACTGCTTTTGTATGAGCGCGTTAGTGTGTGTACATTTCTTATCCCATTGCTCATCACATGTCTGTAACTTATTTTTGTGTAACTATAAATATTGATTAACGCTTGGTTAAATGGGAGTTGGTTTACCCGCCATCTCCACTACGCGTCATTTCTCTTTTCTCTATTCTATTCGCTTCATATACAAAATATATGTATTCACAAGTCCATTCTCGTTATTCGACTTATTCAATTCCGTTATTGACTAACGCGATTAAAGTCAATGATTATATACGAGGATAGGCGACATATATATATTTCAATAACAATCATCATTACGATCTCCTTGGAGTCAGATCTCGGGTCACTAAAGTGGACAGCGCTTTCGACAACATTGTCCGATCTAAATTAGTATTAAATAACGGGCCTCCACAGCTTACAACTAATCTATGTTTATAGATGATGAACAAATTGATTCCCCTTAGAAATATGTCAATAGTAGTAGTGTTGTTAACTAGATAAATGATTCATATATTCACTAATAACTTGTTGACGTCTATATTTCAGTCAGTGAACAATCTCATTGAGATCTGTTGAGAAGATCCAGAAAACTCCTCGAAAAAAAAACCAAGAGAAACTCTGAAAACACTGTGAGGCGTTTTATCCAATCAGCGTTTAGTAGAAGTTTTCCCAGAAACATCTAGAAGTCAGAAAGTCATATTTTGAGTTTCTGACTGGATGACTACTATGTTTAGTAGCTCAATGGGCTAATGGTTAAGCGCTCGCGCGTGAGACTGATAGGTCCTGGGCTCGAATCTCTCAGAGTGGTGGGATCTTAGACGCGCACTTCTGAGGACTCCCATACTAGCACAAAACGGCCGTCCAGTGCTTCCGCATTTTCCATGATAGTCTAGCTTCAATTGACTCATGATTTCGACTATTGAAATTTCTAAATTTTCCACAAAACCCCCCATGATATTAGAATATGTTATATAATATTAAGAGTAGTAACATTACATGTTTATTCCACTCCCTTATGAAGTATTAATCAAAATATTGTTTATATTCCCTTACTTACTTACTTACTTAATTACTTTCGCCTGTTACTCCCAATGGAGCATAGGCCGCCGACCAGCATTCTCCAACCCACTCTGTCCTGGGCCTTCTTTTCTAGTTTCATCCAATTCTTGTTCATTTCTCTCATGTCTATCTCCATTTCCCGGCGTAATGTGTTCTTTGGTCTTCCTCTTTTCCTTTAACATTGAAGATTCCATGTGAGGGCTTGTCGTGTGACGCAGTTGGGTGCTTTCCTCAATGTGTGTCTTATCCACTTCCAGCACTTCTTCCTGATTTCTTCCTCCGCTGGGATCTGGTTTGTTCTCTCCCACAGTAGGTTGTTGCTAATAGTGTCCGGCCAATGGATCTGAAGTATTTTGCGTAGACAACTGTTAATAAACACCTGTATTTTCTGGATGATGGCTTTCGTAGTTCTCCAGGTTTCCGCTCCATACAGTAGAACTGTCTTGATATTTGTATTGAAAATTCTGACCTTGGTGTTGGTTGGCTGACAGTTGTTTTGAGTTCCAGATGTTTTTCAGTTGTAAATATGCTGCTCTTGCTTTGCCGATCCGCGCCTTCACATCTGCATCAGATCCACCGTGTTTGTCATTGATGCTGCCCAAATATGTAAAGGTTTTTACATCTTCCAAATCTCCGTCAATTGTGATTGGATTGTTGCATGCTGTGTTGTATCGGAGAACCTTGCTCTTCCCTTTGTGTATATTGAGACCTACTGCTGCTGAGGCTGCTGCTACGCTGGTCGTTTTCTCCTTCATTTGTTGTTGCGTTTGCGATAGAAGGGCCAGATCATCTGCGAAGTCTAGATCGTCTAACTGCATCCTAGAAGTCCACTGTATCCCGTGTTTCCCTTCAGATGTTGATGTCTTCATGATCCAGTCGATCACCAGGAGAAAGAGGAAGGTTGAGAGCAAGCAACCTTGCCTGACACCGGTCTTTACTTCGAACGACTTTGTCAATTGTCCTCCATGCACAATTTTGCAGTGTAATCCATCATATGAGTTCTGTATGATATTGACTATCTTCTGAGGCACGCCGTAGTGTTTATATTCCCTTGAAGTGGAATAATATGATTGAGTGAATATATATTCAAAGCGCATTATCTATACTAACTAATTGACTTCATTCATGTATACTGTGAATATTCTGATTGAATCTCACTTTGAACTTTTGAATATCAAGACATTTCATCAAATTGCTACATCAGTTCCCGTTGCTAATCGTAATCTTATTTATACTTCTGTTTCTTTTCTTTCTTTCTTTCTCGTTTGTTTGTTTGTGTGTATGTATGTATGTATGAGCAGATTTTCATTGATTTCCATGGTCATTCACGTATGAAGAATATTTTCTTATATGGATGTAGTTCCACTGAATCATGGTTATGTCCAGATATAAAAAATCCAACTTATCGTGGTATCAATCAATTAGAAGATAATTCATATCGTAAATTAGCTGATATATTAAATCAATTATCACCATATTTTTCAAAACAATCATGTTTGTAAGTTAATTTTTTGTTGTTATGCTAATATATATACCAAACTCCTGCGAGCGGGCTCATGGATGCGCACTGCTAAGGAGTCACACAATAGGACGAAACGGCCGTCCAGTGTTTCCACGTTTTCAGTGATGGTCTAACATCGATCGGTTCATGATCTAAATCAAAAACATAGCAATCCCCGCAACCCCTAAACTTTCATTCTATTGACTTTATTTTCTAGATTATGGATTAGTTGATAAATTTCCAGGTTTTAAATTGTTACCATAGTGTTTGTGAATATTATTGAATTTTGTAAAGGTTACATCATGGTTAGACAATCATTAAGAAACCAAAAGACAATGAGCACTTGTTTCGTCCTAGTGTTGAACACCTCGGCAACAAGCATACACGACCAACACATACATCACCAAAACGATCGAATCGTGGATCATAGAATCTTCGTTTAACCCTTGGATCATTGAGTAACTATTTGATTGTAACCACATCTTAATATTACACAAGTATCATCTTTTTATATTATCGGTGATTAATTGCCTTACACTTAATATGGTTGAACAAGTGGTATGTAGCTAATAACCCCATGTTTAAATATCTAGCGATATGACTGAGTACTTAGAGTTTTTCTAGCAAGGTTGTTTTCTAAGGGATGTGATTGCTGACTATATGCCCGGTAATAATCCTAGAACAGTGTAAGAAGGAATTGTATAATAGAGTAGTTATAAACAATTGCCTACGTAAGATACTTAATGTCCTTTGACTGGATACCATCAATAACAACCTACTGTAGAAGAGAACAAACCAACTTTCATCTAAAGAGGAAATGAAGAAAGGATGCTGGAAGTAGAAAAGACATACATTGCGAAAATCATCAGACTGCATTACGATACAAGCTGTAACTGTGAAATCCTGAAAGGAAATGAATATGAGGAAGACCAAAGAACACATTACATCAGGAATTAGAAACAAACATCAAAGGAAATGAATAAGAACTGGAAAGGATTGCCGAAGATAGAATTAAATGCAGAATGCCAATGATCGATCTAACGCTCCTTCATGAGGAGTAACAGGCTTAAATAAGTAACGAAGTATTGATCGAGTATTTAAGTTAATATTGTAAAATCACTGTAAACAATGACAATCATGCCAAACTTTAACGATGCAAAAGTTTGTTTTCTTATCCATTTTCTTTTTTTGTAGTTTAAAATGTATCATTTTATGGATATGCCTAAAATTATATTGTCTCTATGTTCAGTCAGTCAGTCAGTCAGCTACAATGTAGGATAAGGCACATATATGCATCGGTCCAAGTTGCCATACCGCATTAGCACAACAAGGTGAACACTGGATTCATAGTAGTGGTGGTAACATATAAAAGAAAGATTGCTTATACAGGAAGAAAGAAAGATATGAAGTGACTTTAATCTCTTAGTTTAAGGGAAGACAGAGAGTGTACGTTAACCGTTAGATACTTCATATGGGATTTATTCATTATCTATAAGATAATTCAATGTGTCAATAAAATTTGTTTATTCCGATTTGTACAATCTATGTACATGTACGTGTGTGTGTTTGTAAGTGTGTGTGTGTGTGTGAAGGGAGGATTAATGAATGGACTAGTTTTAGGTCAGAAACTACGAACAGGAATACATTTCTAAATACTTTATCATTCAATCAAATTATGGTCTATTTCTTCCTTTAAGAGTTAAAACTTTATATTCATATTTACAAAGCCTTCAAAATTCGAACCAATTCATCATTCAATTTAATAGTTTCTTCTTTGAATTGATTCAAGATATATTTCCCCGGAGTTCCTGGTGAGGAGCTGTCACCAGTGTGTGCAGTCCAATGCATGTCGGGTGTGAGATAGTTATCTACCTCAAACAATCGACGAAGGATTAAGCGAAATGATAGATCAATTGAAGTTAGACATTAAAACCGTTGAATGCCGGTTTAATAATCTAAAGGTTATGTGTTTTCATACAAGACTGAAGGTCCCATACTATGACAAAATGACCGTCCATTGTTTTCAGGTTTTCCAGGATGGTCTAGCTTATGAATTCAACCATTAATTTCATAAGTATTTTGCTCATATTAAAATGTCACATTAGCTTGAGTCCTATTAATTCTCAATTATTTTCATCATCAAAATCTAATCCCCTTCCTTATAAAGTTACCTTCAGGATCTCTCAAGTTCATCCCCATTTGTTAGTCTTGTTATATTTATAAATTTTAAGCTTTTTTGTTGCTAAATGTTTCCAAAATTTACTTAACTTTAAACATCCATCAGACTAAATTTCACTGTCATCTGAATCTCGCACAAATGTCCAACAGTCATTACTTTCAATGTAATTGATCTGTTCATATTGTAATGTCCGGCATGCGTTTCAACCAGATTAGTAGATATAGAGGATCCACCTAGGAGAGTTGAAAAACCCTCATTTTAAACCAATAATGAACATGGGCTCTACGATCCTAACTGAACAAATGGCGTATGAATCTCTTGTCGGTCACCGGCTACTATTGGACTGCATCTCCTGACATTACTTCATTGCCTAGTGGATCAGACTTTTAGGTCGAAGGCTCCGGATGTGGCTCTCTACGAAAACCATCTGCTTCGGTCTGGACACCCGGGCACTATCACAGCCCACATACAAATCACGTGAATTGTGTTGTGCATATGTATAGAATGCCGCATTGTACCAATATTAATGTGTTTAAATAACAACAATAATAATGCATACATACATAATATTATTATTATGTTACACCTTTAATTATTTTTTGGCCCTTGCATTTGCCTAACTGTTTATTACTTCACGAATTGATTCAAGCTAAACCAACATTGAAACCTAGACTTAATGGACGACCTTTCCACCCCATCGTGGTATTCTTTAGTCCCAGTCTGCAACTAAAGACCATTTACAAGGAAAGGAACTCTTTGATCTAACGTGTGTCATCAGTTAACATCTATACCACTAAGCTAACATTCAATGGTTTTAGTGTTTAACGTCAAACAATTCACAATATCTCTTGCTTAACCTTCATTCATCATACTTTTTTTCTTTATAATTTCAGATATATGGTTAGTAAAGCTAAAGAGACTACAGCACGTATAGCTGTTTGGCGACAATTCAATGTAGTACGCTCTTATACAATTGAGGCTTCTTATTGTGGTATTCGCCGTAAATGGTATGATAATCAGTTAATTCCAAGTAAGATACAAGAAAAACACCAACAAGAAGATAATGATAATAGAACAATAAAAGGAAAACATTCAAATGAATCTGTAGTAGTTATTGAACATCAAATAAGACCAATTGATTTAATGAATTTTGGTTCACAATTATTAAATGCATTTTTATTGTTATCAGAAGAAGAAACAACAATATTGATGTCAAATACAAATAAAACAGTTTCATCCATATCTTCATCACCATCTTTAATGACATCTTCAATGTCATTATTCAATGTATCTTCCCCTGAACATCCATCATCATCCTTTGATACAAACATTATGCCTCAGTATGGTGAAGATGATACTGACGTTTACGATGATACTGATGATAATGATAATAATAACAATGGTAGCAATGTAAATGAGAAACCTAAAATATCTTCTAAATTACATTGTAGTAAAAGAAAATATCAATCTAAGTTAAAGAAGTTGAAACAACACAAACAAAAATCATAATAATAAGAAGAAGAACTACAATATAACAAATAGGAAGTCACATATATTTCAACTATGTTGCCTTCGTTTGGTATAGTGAAACTCAATTGTGTTCTTTATTCATGAATCAATATCATGATCATCATATAGATATAGAAGAATGAAGATGGTAATAAAGTGAACTCAATGAACTGTAAACAAATAAAGAGAGTATCATGTCATTCAAATGGAAAAGTTTATCTTTTTCACCATCTCATCGTATATTTTCAAATGTTTTTATATAATTGAATCCCAATTGAAACAGAATGTTGTAAAATAAACATTTATTTGAAAAATATTGATATTCAACGTTCCTTAAACAAGAAAAACACTATTTCCTTTTAATCTGGATTATTTTTTTGTTTTTCATACTTAACCTACTTTTACATTTGTCAGTAGTACAGATATTATTTTAGAATTTTACTGATCTTTTTAGTTTTCATATACCTTTTTAAAATCTGGATATGATAACACTTGTTATGCTGGAATGTACTATTGTAGTGGACGAGAGGATAGGCGGTGACAATCAGATGTATTTGAATACAAAATTACAGGATCTATTAGTAAAACCGTTATCAAGCGATCTAGCTGTGGATAAAACTATCGAAGTTGATTTTTTATCACTACATCACTCGTTACACCCAATAAAAAGTGAGTATCACAGTCTGTCGTCTGTGGATTTCTGAAATCGAGAGAACATAACCTGAGTCCTTCGGGTTTATTAGAACCTGGGGAACGTCCTGCTAAAGTTGCTTTTCCCAGTAACTTCATGGTTCCGGGATAAACATACTCATTTATATTTAAGAAGTAGTAACTCTAACTTACAAGTGGAGGTATATCGCATGTCAAGTATGCTGTGATGAGCAAACCGATCAATTTTTTGGAGATCGCCAGTGAAGTTGTAACAGCTTAGGTTGGTTGGTTAAGAGTTGACACCAAACAACCAAGCATATGCCAAAACAGTATTGTTCAAGTATTCATTCACTTCCTTATTTTGTATAGGCGTTATATTCCCTAATATATTGAATGTTGAGAGCCTTTGTTTGTCTGAACAGATAATCCAACGCTCCACTGTGACTGCGCGAAGATCGAAATAAAGATCTATTCACTACTTCTCTGGTTTCTTCTATCAATAGCACGAGGGTTACCTTAAGGCACGAAACTGGTGAGCCCTTTTTGAACACAAATTCAACCTCGTTTCTGTTATTAACATTTTTTTTACTTAATCGTAAAAGTAGACTTGATTATCCGTAAACTTAGTTGAGTATATAACTAGTTTATTCCGTATTATCTTAAGTTATTCGTGTTATAGTAACCGTTTTTCGTGCTAACTTCATTGCTATATTTGTCACATACCTCATGTCAGACTCAATAGAAACCCATAATCTGGAGGATTTGTCACCAGTGGAGATAGACAGTATTATGACTACGAAATCTCGACTTCCAGAATTTGATCGTAGTGATCCTGAGTTGTGGTTTGCTCAACTGGAACATTATTTCACGAGACACAATATCAAATCTGAAGGGGTTCGCTATAGAGATTTGTGTTCTATCCTTCCTCCTTCAGTCGCCAAAAAAGTCCGTGACTTGATTTTAGATCCACCATCACCACAACCATACACCATCTTAAGACGAGAGGTAATGAACCGTTTATCATTATCAGATAGTCAAAGAATCCAAAGACTTTTTCAAGGTGAAACACTAGGTGATCGGTCGCCGTCACAGTTTTTACGTCACCTCCAATTCTTAGTGGGTGATAACACAGTGGGTGAAGCAGTCCTAAAACAAGGATGGATACAAGCTCTCCCATGCTACGTCCAACACTGTTTGGATGCACAAGATCCTGAAACCTTATTATCTCATTTAGCGCGTATAGCCGATAGAATAATGGAAAGAGGTCCTCCAACTGGATCAGGCACAATAAATCACACACAAAAAGTAGAATCAGCAAAAGACCCCGTAATAGAAGGACTCATTGCGAGTGTTAAGAGTCTCACTGAGGCTGTCACCAGAATGCAAATGGGTCATAGAAACAGGAGCAGGTCACCACAACGACCACGATCCAAGTCACAAAACAGGTCACAAATGTCCAGACAATCTGGGCAGTTTTGTTGGTACCAATGAAACTTTGGTGTCAACTCAACCAAGTGCATGCAACCATGCGCCTGGCCTAAGCATAATTCTAAGACAACGGGAAACGAGTAACCCCTCCCCAGGTCGCGACGACTGAGGAGGGGCGCCTAAACAGTCGCTTGTTTTATGTTAGAGACAGAAACTCGGGCTTGAATTTCTTGGTGGATACTGGCGCTGCTCTTAGCGTCATCCCTCGAAATAAAACTGAGATTAGTCGAGAAACATCATCAATTACACTTCAAGCTGCAAATAAAACTAAAATCGCGACATTTGGGCGGAAAACTTTAACCCTAGATTTGGGGTTCAGGAGGCAATTCCCTTGGGTTTTCACGGTAGCAGACTTAGATCTGGCAATACTGGGGATGGACTTTCTAGAGAGATACGAATTTCTAGTTGACACCAAAAAACGGCGATTAACACTAAAAGAAACTTCGTATTACATAAAAGGCAAAGAAAGTCACATCAACTCTCTTAACTTGATTCAAACTCCTCCAATAACAACAGCGAGGTTCCGAGATATACTCGCAGAATTTCCAAACTTAACTAAACCAAACCCACAGCCTTCCAAAGACAAACTAAAAGTAAGTCACACTATCAAAACCGAAGGTGCACGGGTGTTTGCAAAACCCAGGAGACTCGCACCAGGTAAGCACAAAATCGCTAAGGCCGAGTTTGATTATATGCTACAACTGGGTATTATCCGTCCCTTTGATAGTCAATGGCATCCCCTTTGCATATGGTCCCAAAGAATAATGAAAGTGACTGGCGACCGTGCGGGGATTACAGAGCCCTAAACCGTCAAACCGTACCAAATATGTACCCAATACCGCATATCCAAGATTTCACAAACGGTTTACAGGGTGTAAGATCCATTTTGAAGGTTTTGTGTGTTGGTGAAAATCCCTCCACGTATATACTTTTACTTTGTTCTTATTGATCCCCTTAGTTGTACATTGTTGTATTTTGATTACATTTTAATTGTTATTACTTGTATTTTTTATTATAGTTTTTGTTTTTCTTACGCATTCACTAAGTTTGTGTTTCTTCCTGAACGGCATCTGTGTTGTTTTACTTGACACTTGTTCTTGGCGGTAGCCATATTGATTTGCTCCTCCTTTTGTGTGTGTTCTATCCAGTCAGGATAGAATAACGTTCATTTGTTGTGACTGGTAATTTTTCCTCATCTTCTATCAACTTCTTTATTTATTGTAATCTAGATTTGATTGATTGAACAATCATTAGTTGAATAGCCGGGTGGTAATATTTGTTTAGGTAACGATTTACATTTAAATTTATGATGAATTATAGAACCGCTATTTACCCGATTACTTGTTTTGATTTCGACGGGAAAGGGCGCGTGTCTAAAGTCCCCGTAAGGCTATTCTTCACCATCCAAACCGTAGTTTCGATCCTACACAGGGTATGAACATATTCACTAAAATTGACTTAGTCAGGGCATATCACAATATCCCAGTGGCTGATGAAGATATTTCCAAGACAGCTATTACAACACCCTTTGGCTTATTCGAGTTTCTACGCATGCCATTCGGCCTGAGAAACGCGGCATTTCCTCAGATATTCTTGTTCCACATTCTCACACTTTCTCTTGAAAACACGCAGCAAACCGTCAGCGATATTGGTAGAAGAAATCACATGCTTCAAAATAAGATGACAAGCTTGTAAATGAAGAAAAATCCATGGACTATCGTTGACAGCGTTAGTCGTCACTGTTTGTAAGTCAAACAGTGAGCGAGCTGATAATTTTCCCTTGGCATGAGAAATAGAACTAAGGTGTTTTCGATAGATAGGTTAATAGAACCGGCGTTCCTACGGAAGTCGATTCTAGGGGGAAGCTAATGTAACAGCTTAGGTTGGTTGGTTAAGAGTTGACACCAAACAACCAAGCATATGCCAAAACAGTATTGTTCAAGTATTCATTCACTTCCTTATTTTGTATAGGCGTTATATTCCCTAATATATTGAATGTTGAGAGCCTTTGTTTGTCTGAACAGATAATCCAACGCTCCACTGTGACTGCGCGAAGATCGAAATAAAGATCTATTCACTACTTCTCTGGTTTCTTCTATCAATAGCATGAGGGTTACCTAAAGGCACGAAAAAGTAAATCCTCCGATGGAATGCGCAAAAACTATCACTTCAACTAGCATCCAGCAAACTACAACTGTTCAATCAAAAGTGAAGATTCAACCAACAAGTCGGCCAGTATTTTAGATCAGACTTCGATTTTATCTTACAATGTTGCTAATGTTATATTGCTTCCCCATCTTTTAAGCGTTGCTTTCAGTCGCTTTCAATAATCTAAGCGTAAGAAATTTCTTTTCCTTTTTTCACTTTTGTAATGAAAAGAACAACAATCCGTAGGACGTATAGTAATAGTTCAACAGAAACACAATAGTAATTTCACGACCATATCGGAACACAAAACGTGACAAGAAGTCACAAGATAAAAGTTAACTTCTCTCACTCTGGTATTTGTAAAAAATAAACAAAACAAAGTCGTAAACCAATCTACTTAACAAATAACTTAGATATAAACGTCGGTGAACCATATATGATTTAGGGTCATAGGCAATTTTAGTTAACAATCATAGGTTACCGAGAATCGTCTCTGGTATTTTTTTTTCATTTCGTACCTAGATTCTGTTGAGACTCTTTCCAATTCATAGGGAAATGTCTATCCTTTGTATATTTTAGTAACTCTCTCCTCCCGGTAGGTTTTCAGTTTTAAACCATACTGGTCGTCAGGAAGCTCCTTGACACTTCTTATCATAATATTTATCCTTATGTTTCTGTACCATACCTAACTGTACTCGAGCCATATTGCAAAA